TCGCTCTGCCATAAAATGAGGGAGCATTTTTCAAAATATATTATATAGGCCTAGCAACAAAGCATTAATATTTTAGATTAAAATCATTTGCTTAAAAATTAATTTCTCAATTTCTCAACTCTATCATAATTAAATAGTTTATAGTCATTACGTTAGATACAATATTTATTAGGTTCGACTGACTGACTGACTGACAAATTACCAATCAATATGAAAAAATTAAAGCGTGCCAAAAACAGGAACGTAGGTTAAATATTTTGTGTTGCGACGAAAAACCGGGATTATGGTTGAATAAACACATTTGCGACATCCGCTTAACACATTTCGTTCTATTTTTTTGCGCCCTATACCAACGGTGAAAATCCGTCGATAATCCCTGCAGATGCAAAAAATATTTTTCTACTTCCATTTCATAAGAATATCTACAAATTGAAGAGGCATATTTGAGCAGTCAATTTTTAATAAGGTTAATTTTGAAAATGCAGAACTTCCGCACAGATTTTAGTCATGGAATTTTGTTTTTCAATAGTGACGATCACAATTCCCTCAGTGAATTAATAGGTTAAGCTCAATTTGAGCATAAGTAAGCTTTACATGTACTCAAGACTATTAAAATTAGAATGGCAAAGTCTCAATATCTGAAGTTTCTTTTACCAAAATAAAATGCTTCCTTCGTCATTCGATTAAAATATATAAAGTTACTCTATTTAAACGAGGATAATTTTATATTAAATTTTTGGTAGTTTTAAATTCATTAGTTGGTTAAAATATTCATATAGTTGCTCTAAATCAATCTAGCATTGTGTCAATTCCATCCAAAAAATCATACTTTTATTCTAAAAAAAAAAAAAATTACAATAAACGTGGAGATATTGTTAAAGTAAATTTTTGTATAATTCTACTAATTGAAAACTTTTATTACACATGCAAAAAATATAAATAGCTTTTCGGCTTATCTTTATACTAAAACATGTTATTTATTATTGTTATTGATAATTTTCAGCAAATATAGGTGGGTAAGAAATACTTTTAAAAATGGGCTTGCTTTTAAAGAGGCCTTAGTAGAAATACAATCATAATTATAATATCATAATAATATATAATAATTATAACGTAATAATAATAATAATAATTCTACCATTGTTAAAGACCAGTGATATTTGCATTAATTTTATTCATCTAAAACTAGTATTTCTATTATTATTTACAGAGAAAGTCTGAAATCCGGAATGCAGATTTAATCTAACGTGTAAATAGTTACTTTAATACTATTTCTGGGCGAATAAAAATTGCATTACCAACTTTTTCCTTTAATCTCAAAAATGGAAAAGCAAGGAAGGGCTTTAGAAAAGATTTTTACCATTTTTATAGTCAATTTTTCGTATTGTAGATTTTCTGTTAGTGTTTCGTTGTCTGCCTCTGCTAATAGTAAATCTGACAAAAAAAGAACCCTTTTAATTAGCAAATTATCCAAATATCTTAAACATTTGTTCAACTCAAAAAGTGCATGAACATGTTAATTGCTGCTACCTAAAATAAGGAACTACACTTAATCTAAACAAAATACATTAAAAGTATAAACAAAAGCACCTACTTCAACACCATATAACACATACCAAATTTTGGTACTGTATCCAAAAACCCATATATATTACATATAAATGATTTTCATTATTATTGATCAGCTCCCGGGCTTATAGCCAGCACAAGTACTTGTCACCAGTGGGCGTAAATTTTTCAAAAATTTGAATGTTGCCCCGATCATTCTGAAACACATAGCTACATTCAGATTTATGTATTTGTATTTATAACTTTGGAAGTCCCTAACTATTCAAAATCTTCTGCAGTACTGTAAGATTATATTCTATAATGGACAGCATATTTTAAAAGCATTTTCAAATTGAGGATATCATAATTTTGGGACAATTATTTTATAGACATATCTTCTACCATTTAGAATACGACACAACCATTTCTCAAATCGAAAGTATGTTACGTTTTGTCCTTTTTTTAGGATTAAAAATTTGAAACATTTGAAAACAAAACTATCTACTACAATGAAAAAGATATCTTAAAAATATATATTTTTTAAGCATATTTAAATTCTGAATTAAAATTGCTGTGCTTAATTTAAAAATACTTAAATTTAAATCGAGTAGAAAATATTGAAGTTATACGTAATCTACAATTGAGAATTTGTTTTTTACTGTGACTGCAATGTGTTGATAGACTTCTTCAATGACTCCTCTATTAAGCTGCCGCTATGTTCCTACTCAATGAAACTAGTGTTTTAGATGTATTGTATCGAGCTTGTTGCATGATGCTATATTGTCCTTCAAACAACTTTAAATTTGACTCTAAGTTATGGAATTGTCATTTGAGGACAAATACAAATGCAAATATAAAAAAACATTTGATAATATTTGGTTAATAAAAAGATGTAAAAATAGATCTTGACAAAAGAATTTCTTGAACTTAAGACATAGCCTATTTATCAATATTTAGCAATTTTGTTAGTTTTATAAAAAACGTAGTGGAGTGGTTCCTAAAAGTTTTTTCTCATGAGGAAATTATTGCTTTTGTCAATCATACGCAAAGTAGATATAATTACGCAAAAGCGCAAATTTGCATATCGAAATGAATTGAAAAAATGCCACTGAAACAAACACCCAGTTTTGGTGCTATTTTTGCGTAAGTCACCAGGCTTATTGTGAATTGATAAGTTCCCAGATTTTCTCTTTTAACGTTTTCTTTTATCTATTACAAATAAACGTCGATATTGTTGTTCTCCCAGATTTACAATCCTGATTATATTTATATATTAATTTAAATGAGTTAAGATTGAAAAATATATAGTAGGTATGATAAAAGTAAAACGTACAAAGCGAAGAAAGAAAAAAATAGTATAATATTAATAATATTAATAATAATAATAACAATAATAATACCTTATTGTTATGTCAATGGAAGGAGTTATGACAAAACGTTTCAAAAATTGGCAACAAGCGATTATTTTAAACACTTGCAGAATAATATGGAAAAAGATAAATTTATTCTCCACAGATTAGCCCAACCAGAGCTTGAATAATAATAATAATAATAATAATAATAATAATAATAATAATAATAATAATAATAATAATAATAATAATAATAGTAACAATACATTGCGAAAATCTTGATAATTGGATAGAAAAGCTTAAAAACAGTATAAAAAATATGTAAAATATGTTTTTTGTAATTTATTATTAGCATAAAATTTTGAGAATTTTAATGTAAAACATTAATTATTAACATGTCCGAAATAATTTAATTGATTCTTTTCTCCAAAAGGATATTTACTACAAATTAACATTCTAATAATTGTGACGTCAGTATCCTGCTAGTGTTTTTATTAAAATAAATGATCTATTGATTTATATGTGTGATATATAATAATTATAATAATAATAGTAATAATAACAAATAGTTCTTATTAAAATACAACAGAAAGAACAGCGCTACTGAATCCGACTACGGATACAACGTAGTAGAATTAGATAGTTAGTAGTTATCGTTTAAGAAAATTCATGAGTTTTTATGGTTTGATGTAGTGGCGGTTTATTCTCTCGCCGTCCATTTATGCGCCAATTCTAAGTAAGAAATATGTACAGCTCGGCCATGTATTTAATATTGCCCTCGGAAAAATCGTTTAGCATTTCGTCAAATATTCAAGATTTCTCGTAATATTCGGTATTCTCGGGATTCAGATATTATTTATTTGGGGTCCTTTTCTACAAAATGTCATAATTGGAAGTAACGAAGACGTTAAATAACTTCTGCAAAACAAATTAACTCCGACAAAGGGGGATCGCCTTGTTTAATTTTTATCGCGCCGTCGCGTCGGTGTATTTATTCAGAAAATCAAGTAAATGGCATCCCCACGGCTCGAGAATCGAAAATAAGTACATAATTAAATGAAGATGCTATCAAACATTCCCAAAAGAAAAGCGGAATCTCATAAATATTTAAGATGCTTTTCAGTAGCGAAGACATCGCATTTTATTTCATGCTCGAAAATTTAAAGGTTACATCTGTATCAAACAGTAATAGTGTAGCATATCAAATTTAAATAAAAATTGAAAATGTTAGTAGGTATTATATCAGGCTCCTTAGCTCAAATAACGACCTTTGTTTCAAGATGTATCGAAAGGTTCGTTATTTGGAGTAATGATCTCTTTTACCAAGGCCTGCATTATTTTGTAGTCATTGAATTCTTCTGTTATGGATATATTTTTTGTGTAAGAATTCCTAGATTGGTTCTCAATTATTCAGATGTAATTAAAACAAACCACAAACTAAGTTGTTTGCCTCAGGGTTTGCTAGAATTAATTTTTATTATGATGTATAGCATCAGGCGTAAACTGCATTTCCTCAAATTTCTTGCTCGATTGTTGAAAATATAACTATTTACTGATGGGCGTAGTGATCACTAAAAATTTCGTGTTCTCTATTCTCTGAAGAGCGTGGTGACATCTAGTAATGGTACCTGCAAACCGATGATACACCCCTAGCGTTAACAATCAATACCGTCGGACTTTTTGGAGGAGTCTATAAAATCCACTCAAAAAAAATATATATATATAGCTTGTTAGGGGTATTGTGTAAAATATTTGAAAAAAAAAATTTGAAAGGCTACTCTTTGGGCAAAAAGAATTACTTACCTGCAATCCACCAATCATGCTTCATCTAAATTATTTTACTGAAAAATCATTTTACAAAGATAGAATTAACGAAGCAGTTCACGAAAAATGATTAAACTACCTAAAATTGATATCAATTACTAGGATGACGCAATTGTTACTGCTAAATAAAATTAAAAAAATGTCGAAAAATACAAATTGTAACAAATGATAGTTTTGTTAGCCAATTTAAGTACTTCAGACTACGCGTCGCCGTCTTCATTTGACATGCGCAGCCGCTCTTTCGGTATGGAAACAGTTTGAATTGATATAGTTAATCTCAACGGTGCCAAAAATTCTGTTTTAGGAAATTATTGAAATTGCTAAAAATCAAGTGTGTTTGAATGGGAAAAATGTGCCGAAAAGTATCATTAGTAGATTTTTTTTTGTGCGGATTAATAGTTTTAAGTTTAGAGGAAACAGCGGGTTTCTCTAACGGTGCCGATCCGAGGGGAATTGAAAAAATTATAAGGAGCATTCAACGAGAAACTTTAGAACTGTGAGTGTGTATTTAATTAGTAGCTTAGGAATATAGTTTTCATGTTGATTTGTTTTTCTTTTCTTTTGTTATGAACCTGTCATGAATATGTTTTATCTAAAATTTGTTCTGCCTAACACCAACATTAATATTTTGCCTCTTATTTTTTTATTGATCACACCAATATCATGACATAAAATGTGGCCCAACTTGAGTTCGGAAGCAGCGGTGTTTCTTGGCGCCATCCAGTCCCATTTCTATTGATTTTTAACTGTAAGATATAATTTGGGATGTATTTTCGCATCATCTTCGTAAACAAAGTCATTTAACTTTATTACTAGGATGAAAAGTTTTTGAAACAAAATTTTGTCAAATTTGTTTTGCACACGGCAAAGTTTTAAATAAAATGGCCACAGATATTTATTTCCCATACCTTTCGATGGCCATTTTAAATAAAACCTAGCTAATAAATAAAAGTTTAAAGTCAATTAAAATTAGCATATCGAAGACGACGATATTTAAAACAAAATTTTTGGAAACTTTTGGTTCATTCCGACACATTTTGTAACGAAATTCTACCACCTTCCCCATAAATTGAAAATCAATCTTAAAACTTAAAATACGTTAGTTTTGCATCAGTTTTGATACTGCTATCAGTAATGAAGATACATTCGTTTCAGAGTAGATATTTGGTCAGTAGAAATCGGAAAAAGGCTGACAGATTTAAGCGAAACCATAACAAGACAAGAACAGGTGAAACATGTAAGTTACTGCTTATAGAATTCTTGATCGCTTTGAACTAACCACTTAATATTTATATGTTTTAGAGCTTTAAGAATTTGGAAAATCATTTGGTTAAAATTACGGGACACGATTTGATAGAGGAAGTTGCGGGTTCCATAACAGAATTGATGGCAAAAAAGGCAGAAGGAGTACAGGTGAAAATGTGGCGCCAGAATTGTACCGCAATTAAAAATTATTCCCAGTTTTATTAAGATCAAAATAATTTTAATTTTTATTAAATATATATTAAGTCGAACTGTTGATATTACGGGATAAAATTCTTTATCTCGTCCATATGTAGATAGAAAGAAAAGCAGAACTCGAAATTTTAAAACTAGATGCGCAAAATTTTTCTAAATAAACCGTTAGTATCAGTTTTGAAAACTTGTGATAATGTCCGTGTCTTTTTTGCTACGTTAAATTTTGTGTTTCCATTTTTAAAAAAATTACAATTTAAATATTATACTTTCAACTTTTAAAACGAATAGTTCAATAGTTCTTAACAGAATCATCGCGAAAGCAAATAAGTGCTGGTAATTTTCAAATTATGATTTTGACTGTTTTGACTATCTTGCCATTTTCTGTTACGGGCTGGTTCTGTATTTTCAGTACGGTTTTTGTATTATCCTTCGTGTTTATTACATAAGATACAAATTACTTATGAGACACCGAAAGCATTTTCGTCTATCTCCTCTAGAAAGGGGAGTTTCCCTTTTGAAATCGACCAATTCGGCCCACCCTGTACATCCTGTCAATAACTTATAATTTTAAATTGAAGAGAATAGCAGAATATGCAGAATTTCTGTCCTACTACCGAAACAATGACTCAATGAGACCCATAGATAAATATTTTTTCTACGATTCGGATGAAATTAAATTCACCGAAGAAAACGAAACCAGGTCTATCGAAATTGAAGATGAAATCTTTACGGTAAGCCTTAATGCGGATTAAACGATAACGGCACATTGAACCGTTCTATATAGTTTAAGAATGTTGTTCTTTCCAGAGAGAGTGTCACTGGATGTGTTACCAAATTCATTTGAAGAATCTCGATCAAAACATATACGACAATAAAACAAGGTACGAACTGTTTCGGTCTCGATCGTTATTTGAAAATAATGGAAGAGCGTGCAACTGCAGCAATCCTCCAGTTATGTTTCCATTGGAGAACTGGGAAATTTTGCCTATGAAACACGATCTGAGATTTAATGAGAAGATCAATTTGGACGTTAGCGCTGTTAAAGTGGCCGCAAACGTTTACGAAAGGGGTACGTTGTGGAGTTTTGGCCAATTTCGGTACAAATTAAACATTTTGGGCTTACGTTCTAATTTTTTTCAGTTTCGATTACGATTTTGAATATCTGCTGCGCATCAGGAAATTTTTGGTTATTGAATGTGTTGTTAACCTAGCAACAACTAAAATTTTACTGTCCTAATAACTTTGCAAGTCAGATAGTTCTTTATATACAGGGTGTTTTAAAACAAATGCGAAAAACTGGTTTAACACAAAGTGTAGTTTTATGAAAAAATTGCAGCAGCCAAAAAAATGTATAATAAGCGCGTTTAACGCAATGTATTTTTTCCATGTTATTATGCAAATTTATTTAGTTAAGGAGAGTGATAGGGATAGCCAAATTCAATCCCTTCCACTCATTAAAAAAAAAGTATATTCAGGAAATTTGTTTTTATAATAGTATTACTTCGATAAGATTTTACAATTCTATTTTTAATATAAAAAAAAACATATTTTTCAGCTATATTTGTAGCGTTAATGTTTGGCAAGCACCTTTTATTTTAAACAATTAATCACCCCCTTAAATTTTTCGCATTTGTTTTGAAACACCCTACCCTACCTAGAATTTTGTTTTTGAAAAAACGAAAATCGTTGACAATGAATTTTTCCAAAGTAAGTGTCTAAAATTTAGTTCATAAGTTATGGATTTGAAATAGGGAACAGGTAAAGTTTGGTACTCTGAGAGAACCTACTAAAACTGGGTTCATGGATGTATAGAAATGATTCAAACTATTTTCGGGCAATTGTTTCTCACAGAAATTAAAAAAACACTTTATATGAATCATGGGCCAAGGATGTGCCAGTAAATTATCAACAAAAAAATCTGACGAAAACGACAATGTAATTAAAATATTCTGCTTAAATTGACAGTTAATTTTTAGTAGTGTAGATTGTTACGAAGATGACATTTTTTGTTTTTGACTTTTATACAAAAAATTCTATTGGAAAGCACCAATTTACTCATAAATTTGTATATTTTCTAAAGTTAAGTATGAGTACTTACTTCAAAGACACAATTTAAATCCACACAAAAATTAATTCATTTGGGGAATTAAAAAGTGGACTTAATAAGCATTAACTTTGATATTCTCTAACAAAAACATAGAACGAAAGTCAATTGACAAATTAATATTCTTTACATCTTCCCTCTGTAAATAATTATGTTATAGATCCCGTTGTAATGGAAGCAATACACTGGTCAGAGCCCTTAGATATGATCTTTAAACAGAATTTTATTGACGATCCAGAATTGACATGGCAATATTTTGCCAGTCCGTTAGGATTGATGAGGCATTATCCTGGTATAGTATACACATCTATCTCAGAATACACTAGCTAACAATTTAGCATTAATCAATAATTCACAAAATTAAATTTCTGCTTAATTTATTACTTTACCGTTTTGAAATATACGTTCATTTCATTTTTAGCTGTGAAATGGTCAGACGAACAATACCTGCAAACGTATGATTTTAGAACGAGATCCTGGTATACGGAAGCGATGACTTCCCCGAAAGATATTATAATTTTGCTCGATAAATCGGGATCTATGAAGGGCACGAAACGAGCTTTGTCTATGCAGATAGTAAATAATATTCTGGATACTCTAAACGATAACGACTTCGTCAATATTTATACTTTTACCAACTACACCAGACCGCTCGTCAATTGTTTTAATGATACTCTGTTTCAAGTGAGCCGATACATTAACGATAGCGTCTGATAAACAGTTATTTTATGAGATTTTTAGTAATGTTTATCGAAAATTCTTGTTTAAATTATTATTGTATTTATTTTTACGATTATTTCCTTAAACATATTAAAACAACTTATTTACATAAAATTTTATTGGAGTATGCTAGTAGAGATGTTTTTAGGCTAATGAAGAGAATCTGAGACTGTTAAGAGAAAATCTGCCTGTGTACGATCTCGAATTTGTTGCGGATTTGTCTGTGGGTCTTCAAAAAGGCTTCGAAATATTGAAAAATTTCAGACTGATGGGAACCAGTAAGTAACATTAGCTGGACACGCATAATTAATTTGTCATTTTAATGATATAAGATGTAAAATGTACAGAGTTTTCCGTATATCCTACTTACAGGTTTAAAATTTGCTAAATTTTCACACTTTGCATTCTGCTAAGAAATAGTATTAAGAATTCTGATTTAACCGTCACAAATAATAAGATTGTTAAGTTGTTTGTAGTATTTTTAAAAAAGATAACCAAAAGCCAGTGGTCGTAGAAAAAGTCTATTATTTCTCGGATCTTTTATAAAACTTTACCTAAACTTTTAATAACATTAATTAATCTAAAGCAATGAATTAATAAGCAATTAAATATAGGTACCTGAACTATGTGAATATTTTAGCTTTTTCTGCTGTGCCTCCTAGGTATTTGAGACCACAGAAGCAGCACTAAAATCGTACACTGTTTTAAATAAAATCGAATAATAGTTTTATACAAGTCGCTATTATTATACAAACCACCTAAACCTGATCATTCATGTATTTCTAGGTTCAAAATGCAATCAGGCGATTATGCTCATTACAGAAGGGATTGATTACTACTATGACATCTCAATTTTTAATTATTCGAACTGGGCTCAAGATTTTCCAGTCCGCATATTTACCTATCAAATCGGAGCGGAGGAAACAGACGAAAAACACATGGAGTTCATCGCCTGTTCTAATATGGGTAACTAATGACCCTCGCATGTATATAAAATTAAAATATAAGCCATCCTGAAAATATCGATTTCAAATTTTTGACTAGTTAGTGCACACAGGCATTCTTCTAATTAAGATGTTTCGCCTTATGAACTAGAACCATAGCGCCTCCACAGTGCTTTGAAAGGTCCATGGATTCTACTATTAGTCACAGCTAACTTCAATTTTTGTGATATCTATTTTAGTGAATAAATCAAAAATGTTCCATTTAGTAACAGATAAAAATTAAATTTCAAATTTTACCCTGTGTAGCAAAACCTAAATGTCACATTGAAAACGACGCAAAAAACCTTATAACAGCCGAATATGAAAGAGTGGACACCCTTACTTTAATATTGTTCCGAATCTGCCCTACCATCAATAGCTGTCTCGAATGGGACTTTTCCTGCCCCAAGAGTTTTCTGCCTTCTTGCTCAGTTTGACCCATAATTACTGCTAATTTATTGTTGCTTCTATTTTTATTTCAATTCAAATGTCATATAACCAAGCTTAATAAAACTTGCAATTTTAGGGTATTATGTTAACATTTCTGTCATGTCAGATATTAGAGAAAAAATTTTAAATTATTTGAACGTGATGTCCAGACCTATAAATTTAAATTATCAAAAAAGGCAAGTTCCAATTTGGAGCTATCTCTACGTCGATCTGGCCGATAGGAGATTGTCTAACTGGTTATGGAGAAAATACGAAGGAATAAGACAGAGGGAAGTGTTTTTGGATCACGTACAAAGGCGCGTCGAAAGACTTCAATTACAGTTTTCTACGCTCAATCACATGCTTTTAACCGAATCCCACGTAAATAAGTTTTTCATAATCATTGTGATTTTGAGTACTTTAATTATAATTTCAGGAATTTGAAAAATACGAAAAAAGGCAAGACTATAAATATATGACTACAGTTTCCTTACCAGTGTACGGCCGAAGAAATAACGAGGTAACTGTCATGGTTGGTTTATCGATTTTCGAAAATTATGTACAATTGTTTATACTAGATGGCAGTCATGTCTTCGAATTTCTTGTTACAGTTTGATCTAATTGGGGTCGCTGGTATCGATGTTCCAATTAAACTTCTAAAATCAAGGATCGCTCAAGACAAAGTATGTAAATAATCATTTTAACTCTAAATATACTTTTTTGACGAAAGACATCAAATTAAATTTAAAAAAAAGCACTCCGCCAGAAAATATGTTTCAAAAAGTGTAAAATATAGTAAAATACTACATAGATAGAATATTTTTTAAATTAGTTTGCTTGTTTATTCCATTCGTGAAATTCGCATGATTTAAAGTTAATTAGCTTTGTTTGTTTGTGAGAGAAATGTCCCCGCCCTTGAATAATCGCTTTGCTTTTACGCATGAATACGCACCAATTGCGTTAATAATTACTGATTGTCTGGTTTGAGATTGGAGTTAATGGCTACGCGTTTATAATCACGAATAATGGGTATATCTTGATGCATCCGGAGCATAGAACCGAGGTAAGATTATGAAAATCCTTTTGAACGAAATTGTCTTCTGAATGAATCGCATTTCAATTTTAGTTCGAAGGTATCTTAAAACCTACATTCAACAGAGCAGATTTCCTGGAAACCGAAATTTTGGATGACGAACGGGAACCCAGACTGTTCGGTGAAGAAATAGTCAAAGTGCGTAACATTTCTTTTCATGGTTACAAGTTTATTTGTACTATAAGTAATTTGGGAGCTCATTCATTCTCATGAACAATTTTCATTAATATCTAAAGCTGCTGACATGAATCATCGCGGCATACAATATGCAATACAATATTATTGATTTCAAATTTCGATGACTTTAATATACAGTTTTCAATTAACAACACACTCTTATATCCAAATATTTATCAAACGAGTGACTCTCACAATTCATTTAAGTATAAGTATTAATTTATGTATAGGGTGGTCCGTTTATCTTGGATCAGTTAAATACAAAAGTGTTTCATTTTTCGTGTGCGAGTCTCAACTTTCTTATTTTAAATGGACCACCTAGTATACTACTTCATTTTTAAATTCTATACAAAATTCTAGACATACTTTGTGCATAATGCCGTATACCGTTTTTGACGTTTTTAATTTTTTGTGCAAAAAATGACTTTTGCAAAACTTAAAATATCTGCCAATTTCTTCAATCGAAAGCATTTATTGTTTCACTTGAGTAAGTCCTGTTGTTGACGAAGGACAGGAATAACGGATTTGTATATGTATATATATATATATATATATATATATATATATATATATATATATATATATATATATATATATATATATATATATATATATATATATATATATATATATATATATATATATATATATATATATATATATATATATATATATATATATATATATATATATATATATATATATATATATATATATATATATATATATATATATATATATATATATATATATATATATATATATATATATAATCATATCATATATAAACACGCAGTTATATGAAATTTGCTGTTTATACATTACTGAAAATGAATGTGCGCTTAAATGTTATTCAATAATTTTGCATTGCTTTCAGTTACGGGAGCAAATGCTGAATCGACAAGGAAAAGAAGCGACGCTTAAAATTAAATACACCCTGGATGACATGGTGAGAAATAAAATGTGTAATAATTTCGATTAATTCCAGTTGCTAGTTTTCTGTTTTTTTTTCATTTCTATTTTATTTTATCAATTAAATTCACTTTTCCTACTTTAGTTAAATCGACACTTGGACTAACTGACTTTAAATCTTCGCAAATTATTGGTGTCAGATGTGGGGTTAAATGTCCCCAATGGCAGATGTTGGCTTCGCTTTTGCTTTGCTTCACTAATTTTATTTAATATCAGCATTAAAATTTTTCAAAATTGGTCGTGAAAGTTATAGTAGGAATGAACAACATTGCATAACTTAAACATATTACATATTACAAATCACTTTTCAGAGGCGAATTGTAAGAGCAACGACACACTACTATTTTAGAGAAGTTGGCCCTTTTACATTATGTATAGTGTTACCAAATGGTTACGGATTCGTCAAGGTTAACAGACAGCGTGCAAATCCAAAATTGCCCGATCCCACTCCTGAATTCATCGTTGATAATAAAAATTGGGTAGTACATCCTGACTGGTAGTTTTTTAACAGATCCGGATACTGACTTAATAAATAATTTCTTTGATTCCAGGATATATTGCAAAAACTGTCCGCACACAATAACTGATCCAATCAGGAAAGTGGAATATGCGTACTTTAATCCATCACACAGTGAGTGATTTTTTTATACTTCATCATTTGAAAAAATGCGGAGTTAAAGGGCGTTAAATTGAGGAACACCTATAACCATAATTTTATCATGAAATTGTAGAGTTATTGTATTTAAAAAAAAAATAATATAATTTTTATATAAAAACATTCTTTAGGCAGCTTCTAGAGATTTTAGCAAGTATTTTGCAAACACATTATGTCATTTCCGTAGAACTTCACGAAAAACAAATTCACTTACTTACGTCAAAAATGATATACCTATCATAAATCTACTAGAAGCAATATATTATGAAATCAACATTCTAAAGTAATCTTTTAAGTAGCGACATTCATTTTTGTTACTTCGATTTAAACTTTAGCGTTGAACATGGATAATAATACCTAAAGAAATAACAATACAGAGTGCATAAAGACTGTTTTATTTATCAAAATTGATATTATCATTAAAATACATTGTACATAATGGGCTCGGTTTGGCCCTGGTCAGCCTTGTCTGCGTTTCTTATTTGTAATTCATGGTTAGCAGAGATAACAAATTGTTTGTTTGTTTACGTTCTGACGAATTGCGGATGGGAGATGTGTGACATGCCTTTGTGAACTTGAAATTATTGAACTTATATACAATTTAATTATATTATATAAGTAATTATTGAGTTTAATATCAAAAATAAATAAATATTAAAATAGGCAGAGTAGCTACGGTACCTTAAAATAAAAGGCATTTTAAAATCCTACAGAAAACGTGAAACTAAAGTCAACAATAAATACTATGAATAGTCTCTATATGGAAGCAGTGCAGGGTATTTTCTATCTTGCCGTCAAGTGATGATCTTCATTTATCCCATCGAAAATTCTCAATCAGTTTTGTTCACACGTTCAAGTAACTGTCCCCAAAATTTTTTGATAGAAACTGTCAATTTAGTTTAAAAAACCATCAGTAAAATTTAATTATTTAAGTATGGAAAGAAACAAAAAACATATACATGGTCTTTTCTAATTGGATGTCAATAATTAAGGGGGCGATTTTTGGGTTCATTTTATAAAGAAAACTTCATATGAACATTGTCCTAAACATCTTAACTTTTGAGAGATAATGTGGTGAAGATTTCGAAAATATAATTTTTCGAAATATATTTGAATGAGATTTGATGCACATGTACCATGTATCAAGAGGCATTATTTATACCACAATATTTTTAAAATACACCAGTGGCGGGCATACGGAATTTCACCTGTCTGTTTTGGCAGACATTGATGGTACGCCATTGATTTCTCTTAAAATAAAAATTATTCTTACAATCTCCAATCATTTCTAAAGAATTTGAATTTCTTGATTTTTTTTAACCCGATGTACGGTTGTCGCTTAAAATAAATATCGTTAATATGACAGTATGCAGAGAAATTAGTTTTTATTTTTAAGTGAAAACCATGCGACGGACTAAAAAAAATAAGAAATTGAATTTGCCCATAAATTAATGCCAATCTGGCGTGCTATGAACAAACAATATTTTGGTTAATTAGGTCGTCACTGCACTGGTTAAATCGAGCACTTTTCTTTGTGAAAAATAAAATATATATCTATAACAAAATATCTAGCTTTTAGTTCAATATTGGAAGACTGTTCTTTTTACTTTTACAATTTTATGGAAATAACACAACGTCCTAACATTAATAATAATATTAATAATTTTTAACAAAATTGTCTGTTACTAAATTAATAACAACCTTCTTGTAAAAAACTAGAACATTGAAAATAGATAAGTTGTTAAAAGTGTCGTCCACTTTGCATGGATACACGCTGCAGGTCTTTACCTCATATTGCCGCGCACCCGTTGATGTATACCTCCAATGTTTTTTATTACATCGCACTAAGCTTTTATACGATTCTTCAGCTCTTCTACAGATAGACGATTACTTAAGTAAAAAAAATAATGATAATAATTATTTGCATGTTGTCACATTAACGATATTGTTATGACTATGCAGAGAAGGGATTTTTAATTTTTTAAAGATTGTAACAATAATGGTTTTTTAAAAGAAGTGGTATTACAGATATTAAAAAAAAATAAATTTTGAAAACTTTACCACTGCATCTCAAAAGTTAAGATGTTTGCGATATATGTGCATATGAAGTTTTCTTTTTAAAATGGATCCAAAAATAGTATCGGATCTAAAGGATATAAACTATTTGGAAACTAAAATAAATTTAGTAGACCAAAGGGACAACTTTCATATTTACTGGGTGGTCGTAAAAAACTAATTCATTTGTAAGTCTCACCACACACTTGATAAAAAATAAAAACTTGAGCAAACAGAAACTTCTCTATATAAATTCAGAATTTACCACGAATCGAATCAAAAAAAGAATCTGCCATCATTGCAGTTAATTTGTTAATTTAATATTTCTGTAAAATAAATCGCTGTCTTGAACATAGCATTAAAAAGGAACAGTTTTTTTTTCAAATTTGCTTAATAATTTTAGGAACGAGTTTGTACCATGATGTCATGTACGACATAGATGTTACTCAGTGGTTTGACGATCCCATTCCAGATGAGGACAAGTGAGTTATAAATTACTAATATATTAGTGGCGACCGAAGATCATTCGTTATTAATAGCGCAGGCAGAACTCCCTTAGCATAGCGGCATCCCTGTATTTCCATATGTTTATTTGCCCAACAGATTTTATTTAAAGATGCTCCATGATCCGTTGGACACTAAATTAAATTTAAATTAAATTATCATTGGTCCAGCTAAATCCAATTATTAAAAAGTATGCATGCATTTAGGTTTAAAAATTATCAGATTTTCGTAGTGTAGTTTGAAATTTATCAGATTGTTATTCTGTAGTTACAAAAATCAACTAAACTAAACCAAATTCAAATTTCAACATTGTTGAAAGAGGATATCAATATAAAGACAAAAATTTCAGATTTGTGGATCCTTATCTTGTCCACAAAGTATTCATATCTACGGCATCAGGATTGACAAGGTTTAAATTTTTCAACAGTGATATTTTTCAAAATGTTTACGACGAGGCGGAACCTGCGTACGACAAATCTGTGGACGAAGATTGGTACCAGCGATCCGTTGAAGAAAACACCAAAAACGGAAATATGTTTCTTTACTCGGTGCCCTTTGAGATTTCAGGTACCGTTATAGCCATTTAGTAAAAGTTTAAGTCATTTAGTCTGTGAAAACCCAGCTAACAGGATTTAAACAACTTATTTTATTTTATTATATTTACTTTATCAAATATATTATTAGGTATACTGATTTTAGGATACGAAAATAATACTATGATAAGAGGCACCAAGGCAATTTTTGTTGAAAAAGGCGGACTAAAAACCCCTGTTGCGGTTGTAGGACTACAGTTTAACCATCAAGCGATGTTCAAGCTGTATGAAACAATAACACGAAAGGTCAGTTCTATCTACAAATCTGCTAGATTTTTCAAGTGTCGGTTTTTGCTGATTCGAACTTGCTGACGTTTAGCCAATCACCCCGTTGGCTTCTTCGGAGCTTAACTGATACTGTTTCGTGAACAACCGATGGAGGAGAATCCAGAAGATTTGCAACTATTACAGTGGTACGTGCAAGTTTCATAGAAAAATTTGCAAAAGGTCAGTCGTTAATGTCATTGGAAAATGTAAACTTCATCTTAACTACAAGAGAATTTCTTTAGCAAAGAACAATACCACGAATAAACAAAAAATGACTGTTGTCATTTAATATCGATTCTTGCTAAGTATTGTCTCCAGCTTGAACTGTGGGATTTTTAAGTCATATCCAAGATAATTAAAAATTAAAAAATACCGAGACACCCTGTACGACAGATTAGTATAATATTCATATTTTTTACAAAACTTCTGGATTCCTGCTGTATGGGCTTCTTCAGAGATTGACTGAAACTGGCTCGCATTTTACTCCGTACCTGCTTATAAATTGTTTCACGGGGGCGGAGCTAAATGAGGGGCATAAACACCGTCTCGGATGACTGATTCCCATATTCCCCCATATTCCCATTAGACCTGAGTCGCGGTTAAGATTGTTAGGTTGTATATAGATTTCTACAGACTCGGATTTAGAAGAGTAGAAGAATTGATTACATACAAGAATTTTAGTTTTATCAAATAAAATTTTTATGTCCGGTTTCGTGATTGTGTTCAGCAACAGCTGATGAGTTGATTTGTCTTACTCGTAAGGCTCTTTCGTGTCCTTTGAGCCTAGTTGATATTTTTCGTCCGGTTTCTCCAATGTATTCTTTGCCGCATATGTATGGAATGCTGTAAACTCCTGGCATCTCAAATGGAATTTTATCTTTGATATACCGAAGATGTTGAGAGATTTTTCGACAAGTGGTAAATCTGGTTTTGATGTTATACTTCTTTAGAACTTTTGATATGTGGTCAGTGATATTTTGAATGTAAGGAAGCAAGGATTGCTTTCGGCATCATTTAGCTCCGCCCCCCTCAAACAATATATAAGCAGTTTCAGTCAAGTTCTGAAGAAGCCAACAGGATGATTGGCGAAACGTCAACAAGTTTCTTTGAACAATTAGTAAAATGTTATAAAACATTTACATTATTTTCTCAATAATTACAAAACTTACAAAATTTTAATAGCACATTATGAAAGACTACCCTCAAATCAGTTAATACTTGAAAATTCAAACCCCAATAAGACATACACCTATGAGGTGCTGTACTTTTTACCCTACAGATTACCATGCAGACTGCAGTCCCTGACTGACGATTTAAACTTTATCCAGCAGCACACTATTCAGTGTACTTAAATAATGCAGTCATCATGTGTTGAACAGTCAGATATTGAACTGCGGGCAAACTGAAGTATTTAAACTTCAATAGATAAGGGATTTGTTTGCAGAGTTTAATAATTTCCGTGAGAAAAACAGCAATGATATTGAATTGGCTTAAATGCGCCCTGTCACTGAGTGTAGCTATATTGAAGTTCTTGTAGTCCAACAAAAGAAGAGGCGAGAGGATAATTACGTGCGTCTCTGAATTCTTGGAATGCTTCATTCTTGATAACAACGCCTACATAGTACTCAGCGATGAAATAGAATACACCGGTAGATTTCTGGGCGACATAAAGCCAGGAATCATGAACTATCTTGTTCAAGAAAAGGTTTACGAAGCTACAAGGTAAAGACGACGACGCGACGATAGAATTTTTGATTTGTTTCCATCGTTTCAGAATGTTCGATTACCAGGCGATCTGTCAACTTGAACCTCCGGAAGCCCCTGCCCCTGATAAATGTAATAAACCGAAAAGTAATTCAGTGAAAATTACGTCGTTGTTTCAGCTGGTAATTAATATGAGCAATTTGATTTTCTTCAGTTGATATTTCTTTCATTCAGCTAATTAACAACGTCGTACATTTGTTATCCTGGCTACTATCGACCGTTCTATTTCTGATTAAATCTGTCACCTGCGCCACCGACGAAGTGATTAAAGCGGAAACGAAAGCATTCGAAACACTTATGATTAAAAAGACTTTTCCGACACCATGCGACAGACAGATGTGGCTCTACACCCTGAAAGATAACTTCAGACCTACGTTTTTCGATAACGATACGGCAAAATTCAGTTGCAACTGGTAAGATATCAAAAATTGCTGTGACATTTTTTTTGGTATTTATTGGTATTCATAAATTTGTTAAGATTGAGAAATTTTGTTTACGCAGTTACCAACCGTTTCGCGTCTTTTCATTCAAGTGCGACACCTGAGAAACTAAACATAAATTTGGCATTACTGTACTGTACTCTGTCTATAAACTTTGTTCCAAAATACACAAGGTTGTTTAGTGTGGGGAACAAACTATTATTATCATAGTTTAGCAGCTCGAAACAGTCTGGGAAGGTCGGGAGGTTTGGTTCGATTTTCAATGTTGAATTTTTATTTTATTTTATGGAAATAATTTGAAATAGAACACTATTAGTTTGATAAAATTATTTGAGAAAATATGAAGCTATTTATTTAATTTGACCCATACGTTTTACAGGCGGGACATTTGGGTAGGTAGTGTCGGATGTTTGGGTGTGAATGAAAAATTTATTTTAGGTAATAATGGTAACATCAAAAGAAGGAAGATTTGCAAGTAACTAACAAAACGAATATAAAAATTATTGTAATAAATGCATAAATTAACGCAAATTCTTAATACAAATTAGCTCAACTTCAAAAGAATTATGTTGCACAGACCGGTTAGTAACTCCGACTGAAATTTGAGGTGGTAGTTGCAGCCCAATATTTTTATATCGAATGTCATCCAATTTATTTTCATTTTCCAGGAAAAAGAATGTGGGGGTATTTCTTCTTCTTCTCATAAAATTGACAGAACATGTTTCATTGCTGTGTATGACTTCGACTAGACCTACATAGTCGACACTTTTCAATCGCTTTCAGTTAAAAATCTGACTACAGTGTAGTCCCCAGTTCTCAATTCATTGACAGATGGGTCAAAATCTTTTTCCAACTCTTCAGGGACGAAATTGCATTCTCCCGAACTCACGCTTGAGCAGCTAATGTCGCTATCTTCACTCTCAGATCGTTTTCTTCTTTTAGTTAAAGTTTTCGTCAATTGTTGATTTTGCTGTTTTGAGATCTTCAGCATTCTCTCACGTTCAAGTTATTCAAGTTCTTCTTTATCGGAGTTTTAGATAATATCTCAGTCTTACCTGGTGTGCGTCCTTTGCTTTTGAGAAGTGCCTAATTATTTCCGGAGTTAATTTGATGTCGCTTATTATAACAATTTTTGGTGTGTGATTCGACAGTGCTTTATCGAAAGCGGTCTTGATCAGCTCCAGTAGATGATAAATGATCAACGTCTTACCAGGATTAGAGTAGTATGTCTTTAACGATCCGTATACAGAAACATCCAAAAGCTGGAGTCGATGGCTACAGTGAGGTGGGAATGTGAGCAGATGGACACCATTTAATTTTGCCATAAAAACGACATCAAGATTGACTTGATTTTCATGTAGCCCCCGAGTATTTTATGAAATGTTCCATTACCAAGACAAAATTGTCTTTAGTCATCCATCCACTTGGATAGGCTAAGCTTAAAGTGTTTTCAAAGGCATTGTTTCTGTTCTTACGTAATAATAACTCTTGAAGTTTTATTTATGATGCTGCAGACCGTGTTGTCCTAACAACCAATCTCGTCCTCCAGATTTGTGTGATTCCATTCCGGTGGTATTAGTATCTAGACTCTAATGCATTTTAATGCACATTTGTAAGTATTCGCAAAGAAGTTTCTCTTGTTTTGGAGTGAAAAATCGTCTAGATGAAACATTAGCTTCATATTCGTAATTGTCATGTCGTTGCATGAAAAACTGAAGCCTAAATTGTCAGCCGCTCGCCTAATTTTCATTCCATTTTTAAGAACACAACTAACTGCAAATTTAATTTTCTCCTTGGTTTTTCGAGATCTTTCAGTCTTTTTAGTGTATTTCCGGAATATTATTCAGCCTACAATGTAAAAAGAAACAATTGGTAAATGGCTGTTATATCGCTATACAACTAGTGATTTTAAATCTAAAAAATGTGCTCGAATATCAAGCTCAAAATGATGTTAGGTTATGTTTTGGTATTGGATTGTTTACTAAAAGAACCTCATACAAAATACCTCTTGTGCTATATTGAATGATAAAATGAAAAAGTGATGAAAGATATATTTTTTTTAAATAAATTACCTGGTCAAAAAATCGATTTTAACACCAAAAACCACTCACAGTGGCACAGCGGTTGCAACGGAAGTCAGTTTTGATATTGTACAGTGAAGGCAGACAGACACACACACACACACACACACACACACACACACACACACACACACACACATATATATATATATATATATATATATATATATATATATATATATATATATATATATATATATATATATATATATATATATATATATATATATATATATATATAATATTTTTGGAAAGTAATTTTGCTATTGACCCACACTTTCGTCGACCCAAACCTCCCGATTCTACCCTAGCAGAATCAAAATACTAAGTCTTAAGCGCTATGTACAGGGCGGGCCAAATTTAAGGAAAACTCCCATTACTAAAAGAAATAGATGAGATTGAGATATCTGTTTCCATTCCAGGTTCCAGAGTGTTCTTGAACAGTGTTTTTCAAAAATGTGAATTTTTAAAAGATTGTTGAAAATTTGGTATTTATGTGAAAGTATTTGCAGAAATTAATGGCTCAAATTAAATATTTGTAACTCTAATATTTTATTAGGAAACAACAGAAAAATCAATTTTCTATATGGGCCCGTTAATTTTTGGATCAATGAATAGACCTTCCAAATTGCCTTTCCAAAACTATAGCTTACTTGATATTTCAGATATTGAGTTTGCAGGTTTTAGTTTAACCGATATAGGTACTAGAAGAATGCTGCTGATAATATAGGAACTTATGAAGGGTTTGTGAAAAAAAATGTTGAGGTCTTTCCATGCGCGAGATATACAATCTCATTTTTAATCAATGACCTTAAGGCATTCACTAACCAACGTGGTTGACAGATCGTCAATTAATTTAAATGCGACAATTTTGAGGAAGTATTTTGCTCGAAATATGCCTACATCTAGTAAAATGTTCTGGGACCAAGGGTTAAGTTTGCTCAAATCGCTGTTTAGTAGTAGGATAACTGTATTATATGACAGCTATATAATTTAACCTAAAAGCCATAAGCAATAGGTTATATTTTTCTAGAATCCAGTTGTACCATAGCATTTTCATGGTACTGTCTTCCAAGTTTATCTAACGTTAGTACCTGCTAGTTTTGTTTCAATCTTTATTCCTCATAGAGAGTTCATGTATTGTTTAGCTTTTAGACCACGTCGTTTCAAAGTGAAAATGTCTTTAAGAGGTTGTTTTCTTTCGGAGTATTAATCGTTATTCAGATTGCTTACTATCTCTGTATTTTTCTCGGCTTCCATAAAACTAACCCAAACTACCAGTACAAATCCAAAGCCTACTTGTTCAAAACTCTATAGGAAAATACCAAGCGTGCTATATCGAGAAAGTGTCCAATTTGGCGCAGCCTGTATATTTTTTCCATTCTTTGAAGAAAAATGAAAAACTTACGCTCATAAAATAACGACGTTTCTAGTAAATAAATTTGTGGAATTCACTATTTTTAGACTTTTTTTTTAGATTTAGACAAAGTTCCATTACATAATCGAAAGTTAAATTGCGTTATTTCAAATACAGTAGTTTTAAAATCATTTAGGAAGGAACACAAAAGGGCACAAAAGCTATTTTTAACTGAATTCGTTCCGTTGTAGACACTTTGATGAATTACCTGCGAATATTGGAGTTAAAATGCTACCTAGGATTTTTCGATTAAATCGCAATGAAAACGCCATTATGAGCTGGTTGTCGCAGTAATCACAAAATACGGACAGTAGCATAAATGCAACTATGCTCTAATACAGCCTAAAAAACTCAAAATGTTCTTACTAATTTTTAGCAAGCAGTTAAAGTTTTTCTTGCCATTTGCGAATTAACTTGTATAACTTGAAAAGGCCTAGCTTACATAGAATAGTGAAACTTGGTAACTAAATTGATCCGAGTTGTGTTCAAAAAGTAAGGCGGCTTTTAAGTTTTATCAAAAGGTATTTATTTATTTAACGGGAGGTGAATATGGTGGCTGAGACATAATTCTGGTTTTGTTTTTGGCGAAAAAATTAGACACAAACAAAGATGAGTGAGCAGGTGCATCATTGTGATGCAGAATCCATTCCCACAATTCCGGACGTTTTCTTAATATTGCTTCTCGCAAACGGCGCATAACTTCAAGGTAATACTCTATGTTGACCATACGACTTTGTAGTAAACGGTATGCAAAACCTTGACAGTTGATCGAACTTGCCGTGCTTTTCTCGGTCCTGGTGATTCTGGGCTTACATTCGGTCGACTGTGCTTTGGTTTTGGTTTCGACGTCATAACCATATACCCATGATTACCTTTATGACCTTTTCCAGCATATCAGGATCATAATTGACATTGTTGAGCGATGCTCCTTCGACGCTGCTTATGCCGAGTCTATAATTATACCGATCTCTTCAGCAACTTGTCTAATAGTGATCCGACGATTTTTCAACACTATTTGTTTCATTTTTTCAGCGCTGTCATCAGTTAGTGATGTTCTGGGGGATCCAGAGCGAGGTTCGTCATCGGCGTTTTCTCATTCAACTTGGAACAGCTTGTACCACTCATAAACATTTTTTTTTTGCTCAAAGTAGATCCAACATATGCCGTTGTCAATATTTCAAGTGTTTTGCAGCACCGTACTCCATTTTTTAATACAAAATTTTATGCAAATTCTCTGTTCCACTTTTTTTAACAGCAGAAAATCGACGAGCACACAAAACACGTCACGTCTAACGTGCCCGTCTCGCAATAAAAATAAAAGTTAAAGTGCAAACTGGCTGAAACTGTAAACATATGTTAGGGACATTTGTTCCAACATAACAAAAAATATATATCGAAGATCGAATGTACGCAGCCCACCCAATTACATATGCCAACTTACTTTTTGAACGCACCTCGTATTCTCTGAAAGTTAGTAGAACAGGAAGTTGGCAATTTAGTTCTTTCGATTTTTTTAGGCCTTATGTAGCAAGAAAAATTCCCAACACGAATTTGTTATTTTTGGCGATCAATGGCAAATGTGGAACTGAGAATTCGTTTACTAACACCCCAGAACCAACGCCCATCATTTACAATGTTTCCCTGCCTTGCTACATAGCCACAATGAACAATTACACGCGGAAGCCCTACATGAACTGCTACAAAAAACACGAAGGGGTAGGTAAATCACAAATCCTCGTGAGTCATTTGCGTGTCGAATAAGTGTACAACAACCTTTTTTTTAACATCTGGTTTAGTTTAAATACATTCTAAACATATTTTAATTTTAAATGCCTGCAATGCGAAATCAATAATCAGCCGCGTTGCACGCCGAATTGGGTTTGACAATTTGTTTTTTTTTTTTAGGAAGCTATGTTAAATAAGAAAACCTACTATTGCGGCCATACGTGGAATTAATTCAGCAGAAACGCCAGCTTGAATAATTAGTAAAAATAAGAATGCAATTTGCCGAAATTTAAATAAATTTGTCTTCCTTAATGTATTTCCCTTTATTCTGAGTCAGATTTAACATCACTAAATTTTGCTTAATGGAATGCGATGGTGTTTAAGTTTCCCGCCTCGCAACATTTTATCGCTCACACAGAGTAAATATTGCAGGTCTAGCGCGATTTCGTCTCGCAATTCAACATCAAAAATAATTTTAAAGCAAAACGGCGCGATCGATTGTGTACAATATTATTTTTATGATTTGATAAAAAAATACATTTTAATATTGCGGTGGTTGTTTTCATTAAAATATAATTTTTATTCAATAATTCTAAGTTTAAAATATCTGAAACTTTTTACACTAAAAATTGATAATAAAAAATCTTATATTTTATTTAAAAATCAGTTGTTCTCGATTCAATGAATTTTTATTGCGTTTACTAAATATTTAAATAACTAAACCACAAAAAAAGGAAAAATAAGCTCAAAATATTAGTGTGCATAGTATTTTCAGTCGTTGCTTGACTCTAGCCAAGGCCTTAAAACAGGTTTTAAAAACCTTCGAAAATGGCTTGGTTCGCTCTTTTTTATTTTTATTTTGCTGGTATCTTTAAACGTGATGGTGTAAACCAATGTTGGCTTTAAGACTCGTCTTTTTTATGTATTTATGTATTTATGTATTGTAATCATATCATGTCAGATAACATATATATCATAATATTATAGAATAATTTTGGTTTAATTTTTTTTTTCGCCTTAAATTAAATGCACAAACCATCTTTATCAGGTTGTTCAACTGATCCCCGGTATTTTTCTGCCATAGTTGGTGTAACATGTTTGTTTTTTTTCTTTTTTTATTATTGCTGGAAAAGATCTTAATTGTTATTATAATTAAGATTTGACTGACAGACCACTAACAATCTGGAGTATGCAGCATTTGAGTCACTGGTTTATTTGGCACGAGCGGAGCGAGTGTTTAATAAACGGGTGACTTAAAATGTTTGCCAAACGTGTTGCATACTATACTTTTTCTACGACCTTTAGTTTTTGGGGAAATTCCTGCAAAACAAAATGAATACATTCACTGACATTAGCGCCAAAATTAACAAACGTCAAGCCGTTCGGAAAATCTCTGAAAACATCCGAAAATGTCCGCAGGGGCTTGAATCCGTGGAACAAGAAAATCACGTGGTAAAGTGACGCTTTCCGCACGTTAGATTGGTGTATATTATGCAACACGTGCTGTAAACGGCATTTCACTCACGAGTTTATTTGACACGAGCGGAGCGACTTTTTAATAAACGAGTGAGTTAAAAAGTTTACCGAACGCGTTGCATACTATACTATTTCTACGACCGTAAATCACGCGAACCTACACCAAGGATTATAATAAATGGAAAAAAAATTGAAGTGCAACAACCAGCACATGGAAATAAGAGCTACGATGGATAATGGAATAACATGAAGCATCTTCTGTTCGATCCTACACCGAGTTTCGAAACAAGGTATCGGTTTATAAAATGCTATATACACTTTGTTTTGCTTTACGGGTATGGGGTATGGACGCTTAAAGCGAATACCAAAAATAAAATGGAAGATTTCGACATGTGGACCTTACGGCGATTCCTCAACCTACCAACTAAATAATTTTAAAGAAAAGAAAGGACACATATCTAAGCCACATAGGGCGGAATAGTAAATGCGACCTTCTTAAAGTGATAATAGAAGGTGAGACTGAGGGTCGACGTGATAATGAGAGAAGAAAATACTCCTGGCTTGATATCCGAGACTGGCTTAAACGCCCGAATGAGATTTGCTGAAATTATTAGATTAAGATTTTCAGGAAAAACAAAGCAATCAAAGCCAGCGTGCCTGGTTTCTGAATCTGATATGAGCTTACCGATTTGACGAAAAACAAAGTCACAACCAGCGCCTTGCCCCTGGAACGTTCGTACTGAGAAAGATTGGATGTCTGATTTGAAATTAAAATTAATTCTGTAGACAACATTTTTATTAGGCAAATAGGAGTTATCTACATTAAACATTCCATTTAAGAAACACCATTGAAAACCAGTATGTAAAAAATTATATCAGTCTTACCGCTTATCAGATCACATATAACAAATATAAAAAATTCATGTGTGTTTTTAAGATTGGACGAAACATCCCCTTAGTATTGGGCACTATTTAGTCCTTCAGCCGCCGCTAAAACTTGTGCAGCAATCTGATGTTGCCTCACCCACGATATTTTATATCTAAATGATTCGTCGTCTGGATTTATTTCGATGACGGCAACGGGTTGGTTTGAAGACGACGAACTCTTGCGAAATTCTGAACCGCTGCTAAACACGATCCTCGGCTTCTGGACCGATCAGTTCTATAAGAAATACGTGTTAAAATATTTTCACAGCTTATCTACTTGGACACAACGGGGTCACGGGAAAAGCTATGGATTAGATCGAGAGAAAGTGCTGGTAACTATTTACGAGTTTCTAAAGTCGCCACCAAGAGGCTTAATTGTAATATTGAATTTTAAAGGTAGGTTTCTATCAAAATATCTAATTTTAATCATAGTTAAAGGGAGTATTGTGTTGCAACTAAGAAAAGTTGAAATCTTTTCTATTTAATGCTGTTTTTCCTATCTTGCAAGGAAAGTGTACTATATCTCCAAAAACGCTTAACGCATTTTAATAAACTTGAAACTGTTAAAAAGAGCTAGGCTATCAATAGCACTCTAAGCGACGCGATTGCGATTGCTCTAGGCTCTAGGTTCTAGGCAACCAGGTGGCGTATTCTGACATAATCGCAAAAAAAACTGGAAAAAACATTAATGCAACCATATGACGTTTTATACATAATTAGATATGCAAACTACCCTAAAATATAAATAAAACAAAGCTCAAAAGTTGGATTTTGGGAAAAATGTTATTCAGAATTTTCCAAATGAAACGCTTATTTATTATTTAGTTTTTGTCTTTCAGCTTTTTCCAATACCATTAGTGGGCACAAAATTCTCCAGTAGCTGACGTTACCGCGTTTTGATATGCTGCGACAATTTTCAGTCAATTCATTACTAGTAATATTTTCTCATTAATTAGCTTTAGTCAACTAAGTCATACCAATCAATTGTTGAAAACTAAGCAATTGTATTAATTGTTAATTTATTTCAAGTAGAAAAATGTATATTGAGATAATCTGTATTATTCTTCGTAGGTAGGCAGCGTCATAAAGACGCGTAATGTTTGGTCAGACAAGAACCAAATTTGTTTTCATGCCAATTTTAGCAGAAATGAATTATTTCTGTATTCCACATTTTACCACTACGTCAATAATTAATAAAATTAGTGTGTCTCCAAGAATTGATCGACTTAATGATTAAAATTCATTCTTAATGAAAAATTAATTGGTAATACCAAATATCTGAAAACGTAAAATGTAAGTTACGGAATTTGTAAAAAAGTAATAAAGATAAATAATAGCATTTTATTTTGATTTTAAATATCACTTCGCATCCTAGAGATAAATTTGTTTTTATTTATAAAATTCTGAACAATTAAACATTAATGACACCCTGTTAGGTGAAAATTTTTCTAAAATCCAACTTTTTTTAACGTTAACATTTTTTATTAATATTTTAAGCTTTAATTGTAGCATTAACTTTTTTTACGGAAAAATATTTTTTGTGATTGTGCACACACACTAACACAATCAGTATATATCAGATATTTCTATATGTGCATCTTTCAGCCTCCCTCTCATTGTCTTTTAAATTTATTTATTTATAAAATTATTGGTTCGGGCTTTTTTCAAATAACTGACTATTTTTTGTCATTTTTGTAGATCTAAACGCACAAATGAAACCTGTATAGTAAAATTTTGCCAACGGGGTCAACGAAATTCTTCTTTATCCGTCCCTATATTTTCCGACTAACGTTCTTAAAAGGTTTCCCAACCTTTTACTGACATATATACACATCAGCAACATATGTTTCAAATAAGCCTTACCAGAACGGGGGTTGCTGAATCGCAGTACGGACTCGTTTCCAGAGTTTGAATTGTTTCCGTTACTTTTGATGATGACCTTTTTGTATTTACCACTTCTTGTTTCCTTTATCGTGTTCTCCTTGCAGCACACCCTTCAATAAATGAAATTCCGTTTAACATCCTATTCGTGTCGTTATTTACTTTCATTCCTTCGGGACGAAATTGCCACGCAATAATTGACTGTAGCCGTAAAGTTTATCACATCGATATCGCTGCCTATTACAGTATTGCTATTCCAAATGGACGTAATGTTTACCAATCATAATCATTTGTTGTGGTTTCATTATAGCGTTTTTGTTAACGTTTCTCAAATGCTTTATTGATGTATGTAAAATGAGCCTTTTATAAATCTTAACATTGATAGACATGAATAATAAAATATATTTCAAGATTTAAAATTAAGCAGATAATTTTTTATTAAACGGCCATTCCAAACCTTTACTAGAATTTAAGTAAAAATGGAATATGGCAAAGAGCTATACACATAATTTAAAATAGAAGAAATTGAAGTTGAAATATTGCTACTTTGCTTGCTAATCTTATCGGATTGTATACAAAATTTTTTATAACTTTTACGATTTTTGAAGAACATTAGTGCTTTAAAAAATCACTGAAAACGTAGAAACGCCTATTTTTTTAAATACCTACATGTTATATTCGCCATGCATCGTACTCTTTGGAAGATGTAGAAGTTTTACATTTGTGCTTTGTATAACCTAAGAATAAAAAATGTAATTCTGTCTTATGCGGCTGAGTTTAGAATGACCCTTCTTATCGGTTTTATGTTTGGTGATAGCAGTAACTCTATCGTGGGATGTTAACTAGTTAGGTTATAACGGAAGATCACAATAAATCCTAGGCCTAAGTCCTATACAGTAAGCTACACCACACTACGTCACTTAGCTAAGAACCTCCTTCCCTTATTGTCTTAGGTACCAATGTTTTATAGTATCAATTACAATTACATTACAACGTCTGACCCGATACGATACAGTATACAGTAAAATTAACTATTCCTATTTAACGACCTTTTAAAGTTTGCTCATTGTTGCAAATGGATACCCTTCACAACACCTCAATCACGAACTTACTTGCATCCAAATGCCACCAGGAATGCATGGCGGTACTTTTTGTTCATAAAACAATAAATGATGGGATTCGAACATGCACTGGTATACGCCAGCAGTTGAATTAAGGCGATTCCCGTGGATCCTATATTCTCATATACCTCCTCGGGGTAGAACAAATAGAAAGTGTTGAGAACATGGAGTGGTGCCCAACAGATGAAAAAATCGGCGACGATTACAAAGAGCATTCGGATGACCTATAGAGATGGTTTATTAGTAAAATGACAAAAACCGCGGAATAGTATTAAAAACATAAAACATTTTTGTATTTTTCGTAACACTACAGCAAATACTCAGATTAACACGAATCCTATTTTATAAATATGGAGGGTATTTCAACAAAGGAATTACTTCACCACCTGGGGAAATCCGACAAAAAATGAAAACATTCAAAAGATAAATACGTGGTGTGTTCAAAAATTAAGATAACTTTTGTAATTGGGAGGGCTACGTACATTCGATCTTCAATATATATATTTTGTTATATTGGTACACATGTCCCTAATGAATGTTCACAGTTTCAGTCAGTTAGCAAGTTTACTTGGAAGAGAGAATTTGCATAAATTTTTTTGTAAAAAATGAAATAAAGTGCTGCAAAACACTTGGAATATTGCCACGGCATATGGTGAATCTACTTTGAGCAAAAAAAAAAACGTTTATAAGTGATACAAGCTGTTCCAAGATGGCCGAGAAGACGCCGATGACGAACCTCGCTATGGTCGTACCAGCACGTCAATAACTGATGAAAGCGTTGAAGAATTGAAACAAATGGTGTTGAAAACGTCGAATCACTGTTAGAGAAATGGCTGCAATGGAATTTTTTCCGAAGTTTTGGGCATGAAACATGTAGCAGCAAAATATGCTGCTAAGCTGATATGCTCAAAAAGGTTGTAACTGATGACGAATCATGGGTATACGGTTAGGACGTTAAAACCAAAGTCCAATCCTCCCAATAGAAGAACCGAGAATCGCCAAGACCGAAAAAAACGCATCAAATTCGATCAAATATCAAGAACAATTTTCTTTGATAATCGTTGCATGTTCTCCTTTAGCTCCGCCACCCTCAAACAGATAAGGATGTACAGAGCAGATTTCAAACCAATTTTAGTTAATATCTCGGATAATTGGCTCAAATTTGATTCGTCAATAATCGACTGAAGAGGAATCTGTCAGATTAGTAAACTGTTTAGGAAATGTTTATAATTACCATGGCTGCTAGTGTATCGGAAAGTACTTACAGGTTATTTCCGTCATAAAAAGCAAAATGAACACTATATTTTTAGAGTTTATAAATCTCTATAGATTTTTGACTCACAAAACAATTTGTACAACAACATTTAGTATCAAGGGTGCTACTACATGAACAAAAAATGAACAGTTCTATAAGCATAAAAAGAGGAGGGAAAGAGTAAGGATATCGTATTTATGGATCTCGGTGTTGAGTACAATAAAATAATTCATGACAGCGGAGATTTAAATTGTTTAGTACATCATTTTAATAAGAATTTTAAATGCAAACATAAAATACTATTTTTGCGCGAAAGTTACACCCCGCATTCAAGAGTGAAAACTTTTCAATTAACTCTATGTATGTAGCTTGAAACCATCTTCAAAATCGAAACTGGCAAATGTGGGGACAGTTTTTTCTCTTGGTTAATATACCCAATCCCTCATTAAAAACATATAATATGTATAAAGGTTTCATCCGATATTGAAAATTGAAATTTTAATATGACATCATGGTTACCTCTCATAATATAAGAAAGGTTCGTTATTACCTTAAGAATCCTTCTATTTTGGGAATAACAAACCTTTTCAAAATAAGATACGAGAATATTGAAAATATATTTTTCTTAAAAAAAAACTCTGAATTTCAATATATACCAAAAATTTTTTTCTCTAAAAAAGATTTAATAAAAGGATGTTATTTAAATCCAGTGCTCCCTGCGGTTTTTTATCTGTATTTCTTTTTCTTCTAAGGATTATTTGTGTAAATTTTTTATTTCGATCCCAAAGTCGGCTAAACGCATCAGCGAGTATATTGGATTTCACATTGAGAGGCCTTATGTTATTCAGGTCCGTTACATGGCAAGTTTTTAATAATCTAAAATTCTAAAATTATGTTAGCAGCAAAATAAAAAAATATTTTTTTTCAATTCAAGGCGTATCTCGCAGCTAAAAATAACTAAAAAAGTTCATATAAAATTAGATCCAAAAATACTCCGTTTTGGAAATAAATTCAAAATACATTCAATATACATTCAAATTTTGCGAAAAAGTCATTTTGCTTATTTTTAAAAAACGTTTCTAGAATTCGTTTTCAAACAACAACCAAGTAAATTTATAGGGTAGACAAAACTTGTTTTTGCTTACCCAGTGCCATTCCAGAAACCATTTTAACTATTTTAAATAATAAATAAAGTTGTACGCCAGTGGTTCATCGTAATTTTATTACTACCCTAACCAATAAAGGTTTCTTTTAATTAAATTAAGATTATTGGCAGTTAAATTCGCTTTCATCTATACATCAATTCCAGAAATTATAATAAAAAATAATTTAATTATAATTATTATAATACTTATCAAATTTAAAACCAAAAAATGAGGTTCTTTAAAAATATGACAAAATTTTTTCGCAATTCGCGGACTATTAAATTTGTACAATATTATATCAAGGCGAAATCTATACAAATTTTTCATATAAATATCCAGCATAAAATTCCTTATCAGTATGCTCCTATGTCCCTGATTACTTATGATCGTGCTCATATTTATGATTTTAAAAGAACATAACACTGATTTCATCGCAAACACAAAGTGCACATGCATGAACCTTTTTCTTAGCTTCTATGCTTTTGTCCATGAAATTGGACCTGATTCTCTGTGTCGCTCGCATTTTTGAAAATTTTGAACTCTCTCCACTATTCCCTGGAGAAGAAACCTCTCGTTCATGGAAAATATTACTTTCCGTCTGATGCTTCTGAACCTGAAATGGTTCTCATTAGAATGGTCAGTGAGATAGATAAGAGTCACACACAAAAGTGTTTTGTCGTTTCCATTCAAATTATACGTGTTATCCATAATTACCTCAAGATAATATTAATAGGTGACATCCTTTGCCCGTATTAAGTTTAGATCAGATAAGTATTCGTATACAATTAATAAAGAAATTGAAGATATTTTCACATATATGGGGAAAAAAAGCTGCAGACAAACAGATTTTTCAACATTCTCAAAGTAAATTACCTCTATTTAATTAGAATAGAAAATTTTTTATATTGTACATACCGCAACAAAAATCTTGCTAGGACCACACCTTTTTTCTGTGAATTCTTATTTATTTTTGTTTACATTATATTGGTTAAATATCAATTCAATTAACTGCAACGGCATCTTAGCTTCTACATTGTCACTGAGAAATACCCTCTCAAGCAAAGAAACTTACAATCTTTCATTATTTTGTCAAAAAACCTGAACACTTATTCATAGGTTATCTTTGCTCAACAAACAGTATTAAAAATTAATATTTTATTCCTATTAAATTTTAAGCTAAAAAAAAACTTGAACTGAGGTGGCTTTTACTTGATGAAAATCCATTTATCAAAATAAATAAGAACTAAAAGATCAGATTTTCACGAAATTATATATTATGACATGACAATTGTTTCGACAACACCGTGTCTTTATCAAATTCAATTTTTGAAAGAAGCTGAAATTGGTTTCTTGACTATTTGGTATTTTAAATTACTTCTACGTTGCCGAATATGTTCCCAAAACATTTGGTTTTTTACAAAAAAACTAACTCTCTAATTTTTTTTTAACAGAAATTGTACAAGTTATCTTTTAAAATGCTAAGGTTTTGAGAACAAAAAAAGGTTGACGCTCTGTACTTTGTAAGATATCATTTGGGTATTTGAGTGTCAGCGTGTGCAAAAGAGGCTCTTAGTGACAAAAGATAGATAATTAATTTATGTCCCCTAATTCTCCCTTCACCGTACAGTATTCGCCCAGGAAGATTAGAGAGGCTTGAGGCATTAAGGGACGGACTTATAATCCCGTTGAAAGAAATTCATGTAGAATTACGATATAGCCGTAGTGGTACCTCCGAAACCACAATTTGTGGAGATTTGCGGTAAAAAAATATACATAGCTAAAGTGAACAAAACAAAGAGGGCGTTATAGCTATGGTCCGGCAAGCAATCAATTTGGCTTCCTAAAAGTAAGCGTGTTTTTGGCAAATTTCTAATAACTAGTCATATCTGAATCGTTTTGCAAAAATTAGATGGGCTTCCTAAATTGGTTTAAAATTTCAAATCATACGCAACTAGTTAATTGTACCAGACGCTAGCGGGAGGGCCAATCGAAGTGTGTATACAGTGTAGATGTTTTAACGACTTTATGAAGCCCGTGTTGTTTTTCGCACTTAAGGAAGTGATATAATTTGGCTAAATTCCATTAATATCAATATTTTTGGCTATACCGAATTCACAAAATTCACAATAATTCATTTGAACAGTCACATGATAAAAGGTGTTGCTATTTTCATCATAATTATCCACTACTAGCTTGAAGCTATAACATCTATGTTTTGGAAATATTAAAATTTAAGTAAGGTTGAATTAACTTTTGTGCTTTTAAAAATAAAGTCCATTATTACATTGGCCTAACTAGTAAACATGTAATAAACATGTAAACAGGTAAATTCAACTTAATAAAAAACTTTTATTTTTTAATTTTGGGAAAAAAGTTATTTTTGACAGATAACAAGCGCCATTTAAAGAATGTTTCGAATTCTTTATCGATATTCAAGCATATGTTTATATGGACACCAACATACATATTAAAATTTAAGACTCAAAAACCTCCAAAAATAAACTCAGGAATATTTAGGAATATTTTGAATACTATGACTTTTGTTTTAGACTGTAGGAAACTGTGTTTTTTTTCCAAGGATATTGTATCTTTTCACATTAATAAACTATCAGCTTTATCGCGTAAGGAATTTGTTTATAAATTATTTTTCTTTTTTTTCAACAAAATAACATAAAACGATATTAGCATACATACATAAATCCGTTGGAACTTAAAAATATATAGACGTGTAAAATCGTAATGCAAATAAAAATGTAAGTTCAGTTATAAATAATGTTATACCGTTCGTTATAAAATTAATGCACAATCGACGTCGAAAGTCGTGGTTTAATATATAAACATATGCACGGAAAGGCACTACTACTAAAACTATTTGTATCATAATTTGCAAACCACTCTATATATTTCATTTACATTTTGCACATTGCTTTCAAGTAGCGAAATATCGGCATGGAATATATGCTGCTGTTTCCTAAAATAAACGTTGCACCGTTATGATATATTAAATAAAATGAGTCATGATAAAAATTGTAAAAAATAAATAAATTGTTTTTTTGTCGTTTTCAATTATAAAATTAATACAGGTCAATTCTCTAAAACTTGTTCAAAATGTTAATCATTTTCTTCAAAACAAAATATAGTCATATTTCTACTTTAGGAATTTGTGTTAAAAAAAATCTTTTGGAAATTCAACACCCTGAATCTCGGAAAGAAATTGTTTACGGATATATGTTTATGTGAGAAATTAGGGTTTATTTTCGATGCCACAAAAAATTGGTGCATTGATTTCTGAACATCCTATATTGAACATCACATATGTGTTTCTACTCCCTTCTGTAAAATACCTAATTATACGTCACTTTACCACATGATATTACCGCACTTTTTAAGTCACTCGTTTATTAAGCATTCCCATTTACCACAATTGTTGAATAGTATTAAGTTAATATTTTACACAGAATGAAAGCAAATTTGAAAACTACCATGCGAAATATACGAGTTTCTATTAAAGCAAAGTTGTTTAAGAAAAATCAGATTTAAAGCTCCTGAAGCATATGATACGATGACTTACCCCTACAAAACTCTTGAGACAAAGTAAATTACACCAGGGTTTCTTGCCTGCCAATACAGTAGTAATGGATGTAAATTTCTTTGGTGATTTGGTTTGCTTGGTTGCGATTCCACTCTCTGAACAAATAAGTATTTCATCATTAATAGGCGTCACATCTCGTACATTTGGTCAACTGCACGGCTCCTGAAGTACTAAAAAAACATAATTAACTTAACTACTAAAGAAACGTAATGACAATAAATTTCATTAAAAAAATAAAAATTGAGTAATACAATGTTGAGCACGCATAAGTAAGCAATAAATTCTCTGAGCAAGAAATGTTAATAAATGATCTTTGGCAATAAAAAACATTGAAGAACATTAAAGCAGCCCAATCGAAAGTATATAATTTCCAAATAGACTTAAATAGCAAAAAACACATTCTGCCACAAATTCTCATAGTTTCAGTTTTAATACTGAATATTTTGATTAAAGCCAAGTTTCTGTTTTGATACAAAATTGCCTAATATACTTTGGATTTTTCAATCTAAATGAAACCCTATATATTTTTAACTCCATGTACTGAGCTGAAAAATATAAATTTATCACTAAAAATGATTCTTGCCATTGAATGAATGTGTTCAGGGACCTAAAAAAAATATAGGAGTCCATTAACATCGAAAACCAAGATGGCGTCGCATCTAAGACTTTTGACAGATACAGTTCTGAATGACAAATTTGGCTTTCTCACAAAGTTGAAAAATGTCTATTAAAATTTGAAAACAGCAAATAAGGAAGATTGTATTTTGAGTGAGACAATTAGAATGAAGTCCCTGACCTATATAAATATATTTTGAAAAGGCTGGGTGCATTTGTCGGAAGAAATATTTTTAGTGCAAACCCCATTAACTAAAAATAATTGCTAGCTTCATCACTCTTGAAAAACATGAGACGCGTTGTAATTTAAATCACGCCGATAAAGCCCTCTTGAAGCAAATTTATGGCAACGGCGTTTAAAACCGGTATTGCTGAGCCTCTGTTTTCAGTTACTGGCGTGTTTCAATGATTTATCTTCTTAACACATTTATCAGTACAAATTTGCCTACGATGTTGGCATAACAAATGTGTTTCGGGGTAACCGAAAATAACGCCGGAGCTTTCGATTAAATCAAAACATTAACAGTTCAAACAGGCTGAGAATTAACTTTTATATTATATATTATATTGTATTTTACAAAAAATAAATAATAAACTAACAAAATATTAAATTTTTATATGAGTCCGGGCTCTGATCATTAAAATCCACTTTTGGAAATGTCACGTTATTTTTGACTTTCTTGTGACTCGGTACGCGGTATCCTATTTTTTGATGCACTCTTTACAATGGAAAATATGTTTAAAGTATAGACATCCAAAGTTTTATACTATTTATATATGTACTATATAATATTATATTATATAGTTATATAATAATAGATAGTTAACACGTGTCCTTATTTTCATATAAAAATAGAATTAGCATTAGAGAGACCAAAACTCTTTTTTAGTGAGTAGTGGACATGGACTAGGAGTTGCAAGGTGGTCCGTAATGAATGCGCCAAAAAGTAATCCTAGATTAAAATCGTGAAAATAATGTCATTGAGATAAATATGCCTTCATAAAATGTATAATACATTCAAATAATCTGGCTATTTCATGCCACATCTTTCTTGTTAAGAAAAATCGATGAAATCGATTCTTTTCGAAAGTATAGGCGCTCCTTATTACTCTCTAGATCTCGATAACGGTGCATCGTAAGCGTAGCCGTTGGTACAGATGGAATCAGCATCGACAAAAAATTTTTTTTTTGTCTGTTCGTTCTCCGTCTCTCCGTTCTCTATTCCAAGGTTTTTCGACGATAACTTCCGAATGGTTTGAGCTACACGCTTCAAATTTTGCTCCTTTTTAACCGTCCACTAGGTGTATAAGATATGTAAAAATGGCTCCGTCCAAGCTTCGGCGTTTTTTTTTTATTTTCGACTGTTTTTTGAAAATTGCTATGAAACACGATAAGTGTCCGAAATTTGAAGCTATCGACTTTGGCAGAAAAATAGCGTTAGGTCCCATAAATTAACCTATTGAAATTGTGGGAGTTGGGAGTCGGGAAGTATTTTAAAAAAATTAAAAACTGCGGTTGCAAGAGTCTCGAAAACTGTTTCTGGAACCGAAAAAATTCTTGAAGAAGAACACGTAGAAGATTTAGCTGCATAAAATTTAATTATTGACAATTTTTTAAAAATGTACAGGATGCGACGTAAATTTAAAAAAAAAACTGAAAAATGAGTCCCCCTATTATTGAAAATTGGCGATAACTAAAAGACCGTGTTTCAGATATCATTTTTTTTACAGGGCAATAAAGCTCGCATACTTCGCAGTGCTATAACATTTATTTCAGGCATTTTTTCAATTACATACAGGGTTTTTAAATTATAGGCACAAACCTAAAAGGCATTGAAAATTGTTCTTTTTCAGAGCAAATTATTAACCGCAAATCAAAAATCTTTTTTTGTCGAAAACCATTTTCGGAATTTTTTCAAATATGTACAATGTGTGTCGATTATGGTTAAAAAAATCTAAAAGACCCTGAAAATTGACGTTTTCGTGGATAAATTATTAGCCGTAATTGAAAAACTATAAAACATGGGATAATTTTGGTTAAGCAGAGAGTTTCAAGTTTTCTGTATCATGCAGGGTGCGCGAGATACTTGGAATAATATGGAAATGGATGTAAATCGTTAATACTTGTACAATTTTTTATATTTATGAAAATTTGTTCTGACTTTGAACTTCGGCGATAGGTAAAAAACGCAATAAAATTACATTGATTTTGCGAAAGTTCGATGGTAGGAGGACGATAGAAAAACGATGCGTCCCTTTACCACAAGAAACCGCGAAGCTCTTTCTTTTGAAAATAAAAAGATGCTACGCGCTACGAACTTGTCCAGCCCAGCGACTATTTTTCGAAAGTAATTTTGTTAGTACCGTTCCGTTACATTATGCTAAAGAATATGGTAGGCTGACGATTTCTATGTAAAACAGATATCCTACATTTATTTCAATAAAACACACATATTTAGACGCACTCGCCTCGATAAAAAAATTGATTTCCGAGAAAATCGTTTGACTTTGATGATCTCTTTTTCATTGATCCTTCAACAACTATGTCACAAACATCCAGTATATGAATGAGCGAAATTTATTTCAGCATTATGTGGGCATTCAATTATTTATTTATTTATTTGGTTTTTCTGAGATAAACAGGTTAAACCCACAACAGTGTCATGTTAACAATTACAATAAAGTACATAATAACATGCAAAGCTGCTTTTACAACAATAAAAAAAACAAAGAGAACAAGAATAAACAAACAAAAGCGGTGAATAGAGTCCGGCATAGAAAGTAAAAGTAAACAATTAAAATAATTTTTGAAATGTAAAAAGCAACAAATCCAGCAATGTTATACATAGAGAGGGCAAAGAAGAAAATTTTGTGTAATATAAAAAGATTACGAATTTACGAATTAGATAACGATTGTTTTAATCATGTGAGACTGTGAACAAGGTAACGGTTTGCAGCTCAGCACACGCATCAGGGGAGAATTTGGAGTAATTGGTCTTACTAAAGGGAATAATAAATCGTCCAATGTTAAGAGCTTATAATGCTTGCGACCTTTAAGCCTTGGGCTATTAAGTTAAGAAATTCTGTAAGAGAAGCATTTCAAAACTTTCAATACAATTTTTGTATACGTTATACCTAGAGCTCCAAACGACAGATGCAAAATTTATTCTACTAACAACATACGCTTGATATTGGCTAAGATAGCTCTGTTGACAACTTTTACTTGCCTACCAATAAAGTTTAGCATTTGATAACAGGTTATGACAGCTTCTCCTCCAATATTATTCCGAGATCCCGCACTTTTTTCCTGTGTGCTATTTTTGACAGAATAGTAGGGAACAGGAACCAGATTTCTAGTTAACATAACATTTTTCGATGTTTATAAAGAGACCAATATTTTAACAGTACGATTCAAAGCACTTAATAACTGCCTAATAACTTTACCCAGTCGGAAGTTGAATTAATTTGTCTGAAAATGTGAGGGGTCCGGAAATGGCAAAGTGTATGCCCGAGTTTTAACTATTAATAGGGACTTGAAAATTCCTGTAGCGTTGGTTCTGTGTATCCAGCACTCAAAAAGAAAAACACTTGTCACGGGTAGAAGTATAGAGAGAGACTAGTGCACACCAAATTGTAAATTAAGGATCTCAATCTTTACCTGTCGACATGCTATATATTCAAATAAATAAAAATAGAAAAAAACTAACCGCTTGAAGTTTATTTTTATTCATTTTTTGCTTATAAATCATCACTCTTAATAGTAATCACCATCTCTAAAAACCTCCGAATCTAAGTTTTCATGCCGATGTTTCAAAAACAGCTTGAGCTATAGAGAAATAACAATTTCCAAGACAGTCTGTATATAATTAATGCATTAATGTAATGCACGCCCGTATTTGCAAAATTTAAAAATTTAAAATGTGGCGAGTGTATTCGAATGCAATTATCTCGAAAACGGTGTATTTCATCGAAATAAATACGTCTGTTTTACTCAGAAATCACTACTACATTACATTCAGAAGAATACCGAAACGTTAATGACAAGTAAGTTATGGCAGGAAATAGAGAGACTAAGGGGTTCAACTAGCGCCCTCTATATATCATGTGAAAAAATTGAATATAATCCCCGAATCCAATTTCCGTTTTCGATATTTCAAAAATTGTTTCAACTATAGAGAAATAGCAATTTTAAAAACTACGCACAAAACGCATATTTGGCGGGATTAGTGCATATAAATCGAACTTTAAATATCCGTTAATGTTTTCTTTTGCTAACCAAAACTAACCATAAGTCGGAGCTGAGTTTCTTGTGTTCGACTGTTGTTTAATTTTGTTGTGGTGCAAAATTGAATTGTTCTGCGGATCCAGCTGAGACGACAGAACGCTTGCTAATAAGAAATGCTGACATTGGCAATTCTTAAAAGGCCCCTTCTTTTTTTTAAGTACCACTTTAAAGTTCAGCAGTTCTTCTCTTAATGTTTCTCTTTGGCAGAAACCCAACAGGCATTACTCATTTTATTTTCCACACATATTTTACAGTATTCCATAAAATAATATATTATCAGGTAGTTTTAATAAAAATATGAAAAACGCCACGTTAAATATTCCCAAAGTTTTATTTGTAGCAGAACTCTACAATTGAGAGAAATAGTAAATTAAATGTTTTATTACCTTTAGTGGCCTAATCATTTATATTAAATATACATATATACTTACAAAATTTATCAAAGGAGTTTTGTTCCATTTCTCTTTGTAGTCCTTTCCAGAGTTTTTCAATGATCATGAAATACGCGAGGCTCATAATAATTAGCGGAATTAATAACAAAATTGCGTCCAAAATCAAATTAAAGGCCACTTCGGTGTCATAGCTAGGCCAAAGCTCCCTACACTTGTAACCTAAAATTTATAGATGGCATTTTTTCGAGTATAGAGAATTAGGCCGATCTTTTTTATTCGAATTATTTGTGCCCTTCGCAACACTTGTTGCATATAGTTATTAGTGATTATATAGAGACGGGGAAGACAAATAATAATTAGTTATCCATTTAATAGTATTATTTAAAAGTAACATTGCATTTTTCAAAACTCTTTGTAGTTTGGGTGTTAATTTGGTTAACTCTAGTTGGAGTAGTCAGTAGTCTTGTGAAACTCACAAATTTTCAAATATACACTAAGCCTCTGTTTCACCTTGTATGTCCTGTAATTATTTAATTAGGCTTGTTATCATTTTTTCGAAAATATACAACATATAAGTGCTCTTTGAAATAAAAATCATGGATTTTTTTTATGAGCACTGGAAACTACAGATCTTTTTTACATGTAACCTGTCAAAATAAATATGTGTGTATTCAATATTAAGGCCGCCTTTTTAAGGTTAACATGAACGTTAGCAGAAAGGAGAGGAGGCAGAAATGAAAAGTAATAAATGTCATGCCTGTTTGGCAACTAAAGTATATTAGGAAGGAGAACACGTTTTTCCCATAGCCTTACCCACCGATCTAGCGTGCGGGCAGCGTCACTTTACCACGTCACTTTCGTTCGGACATTTCCGGAATTTTGCCGCACGGGTGTGCGAGCAATCGGATGTTTTCGAAGATATTTCCCACGCCTTGAATTTTGACGTTTGTCAATTCTGACGGTCATGTCAGTGAATGTATTCGTGTTGTTTTGAGCAAAGTACCCAAAAACTAACTGTCGTAGAAAAAGTATAGTATGCAACACGTTCGGTAAACTTTTTAAGTCACTCGTTTATTAAACACTCGCTCCGCTCGAGTCCAATACCGTTTACCACACTTGTTGCATAATTGTGTATTGAAAACACACACATACCTACAAATATGTTATGTATTCCATTAGAAGAAACAAAAGTTTAGTTAGTATATCAACATTAGGGACTTTCAGAAGAAAACTGACTAGGCCACTGCATTCGACGTAAAAAACCCTATCCAGGCCCGTTGTTGCCAATTAGATAAGTTAACACATAATCGAGCTATAAGACTGCCTAAAAATGCAACAAAATTACCCTGAATCTGAAAATCCAAAATAGTTGTGAGATTCCTGTTTATGCCACCAATCAATTCATGAAAAAGTAGTCATCGGTCACGACAGGCGATAGCTTTATTAATAAGAGAGATACGCTGCAAAAACCATTAAAATGGGATACAGATACACTGAAGCATTAATAAGCTCTTGTGAAGAAAATTAGCATTCGGATTTCTTAAAAACAAAATGGTGAAATTTATCCTACAAGCATCTTCTGGTAATATTTCCTTGTGATAAATAACACAAGGCTATAAGAGCACCAATTTTCCATTAAAGGTTTTTCAGATTCAAAATTCGTATCGTCTGCATTAACAATTAACAAAACGGAATTTAAAATTTGATAAAGAGGTTTTTAGTTGTAAATCATTCATGAATTAATATGAAATAGAATAATTCATTTGACTACCTCGTTTCGTAGCTTGCAAAGTAGAAAAAGCCAAAATTGGCAGGTTCCATGACAAACTGATGATCCAAAGAACGCAAATAATTTTTGAAGCACGCGATCTGGTTTGCCACCGTCTCGACTTGAGTGGTCGGCAAATAGCGAAGTATCTCTCCATAGAAATAGCTACCAATGTCCAAACGGCGACCGACACAGACACAGCTGTAACAAAAAACATTATCCTTGAAATTTTTCCCCGTTTTCAATAGATACGACAACAAAACAAAGTCCGATAGTTTGGTGAAAAGCAAATTCAAATTTAACACGAATAATATGCAGTTAAAATCGGCATTCCAGTTACCTAAATAACATGTAATCTGATGAGCCATGCGCAAATTAAAGAGTTCGATATTTTATTTACATTTTCATGAAATACGAGACATAATTCTCTTCTTAGGAGTTATACCAGTTCTCATACAAAGTTAAATGTAGGTTAGTATTTTAGGGGTAGTGCTAATATAAATTCAGCCATAATGTCACAAAAAGATACAAATCCAAAACAAAACCTTTTACTACAGAATGTCATATTTGTACAGGGTGAGTCAATGATATATAAAAAATATATATATAAAAGAAGCTGTCAAGATTGTTAGGATGCACAATTGAAAAATATTTGAAAGTATAAATTCAATATATATTGCGTGGAATGAAAAATGTTGGTGGGGGTGAACAACAAGAGTCTTCAAGGGTGCTTTTGCGATGGTTGGAAATAGAATACTGGACATTATCAATGCGTCATTTTCTAAAGGGCAGGTTCCAGAGGAATGGAAGTCATCTTTGGTGGTTCCGGTGCCGAAGGTTCCAGGTACTAAGCTGCGTTCTAATTTTAGACCGATCAACACCGTGCCAGTGTACGAGAAATTATTGGAACTCGTTGCAAAGAAGCAGCTGCATATATTTAAAATGTATATTTAAAATGTAATTATTGTGATGGAAGTAATTTCATTTTTTTTGTAGTCAATCGGGATTTCGAACGGGACATTCTTGCGAGACTGTGATGGTTAGTATCTGTAATGAATTTGTTGGGGCTGTCGATGACAAGAGTTTTGTTTTGGCTGTATTTTTGGACATTAGAAGAGCTTTTGAGACTGTCAATAGGGATATTTTAATAGCTAAGCTAGGAAATATGGGTATAAAGCACTTAGTCCGGGATTGGCTAAAATCTTATTTATCTGGCAAAACACAAAAAGTAAAGTATGAGACAATTGTGTCTGAGTCTATCTTGGTGGATCATGGGGTACCACAGGGGACTGTTTTGGGACCATTCCAGCAAAATTGTGTCGTTGGTAAAAATATCTAAGAAATGCAGCGAGATATCAATGATGACCTGTATCGAGTGTTTGTATGGCTGTGCAACAATAATCTTAGCATTAATGTCAAGAAGTAGAAGTTCTGTTTGTATGGCAAAAAACATAGATTGAGTGGCTTGGATCTGCAGAGTGTTAATATTAATATAAATGGCGTTAATTTGCAGTATGAGAAACATATAAAATCTTTGGGAATTATATTAGATTCACAATTAAATTTTGATGCACATTCTGATTATATAATGAGAAAGTTCTCAGAAAAGGTAGGTTTCATATCTAGAGCAGGCAAAAATTTAACAAGTGATACAAAATTGCCACTTTATAATAGCTTGGCGGCGCCACATCTACAATATTGTTCAACTTTATTGTTTAGTATACCTAACTATAGACTAAGCGAACTTCAGAAAATACAAAATAGATATACGCCTGTGATGACTATGTTAAATGTGTTGCAAATATTAACTATAAAGCAAAAAAGTAATGTTTGATGCCTTTATATTCATATTAAGACAAAAAATAAAATGATGCCGCCATACATTTGTAATAGAGTTAATTACTTTAAGAATGTTCATGACTATAACACTAGAAACCGTACTGATTTCATCTTAGTCAATCGATGTAAAGCTACACATATGTTGAATACCATTTTAAATAAAGGTTTGTTAGAGTTTAATAGGCTGCCAAAAAATATTAAGGAGTGTGAAAATTTAAATGCTTTTAAAAGATTAATTAAAACTTATGTATTGTATGAAATTTTAATCTGATTTTTCTTTTATAATTGTTTCTGCTATTATCGACCTCTGTTTTGTGTACTTTTGTACTTTTATACTTATTTAAATTTTCCTATTTTGCTACTGACTCGTATATTTAAAATGTAAATACGATTGTTTTCTGTTATAGCTTTATGCTAAATAAATACGATTATTATTATTATAAAGGATGGCTCAAAAGAGCGTAACCAATAAAACATACATTTTTAAAATTGGAACATCGTATGTTCAAATTTTGTTTTGAATTCCTTTTAAAATTCCTAAAAATGTTTATTACTAATAATAATATAAAGTAGTAGTTTTCCCGCTGGCAAAAAAATTACGATAGTGCCATTATTTTTGAAGCTAACGTTATTCGCAGATTACAGGGTGTTCAAAATTAACGAATATATTTGAATTATTTTAAATTGAAAAATCTCTATTTTCCTAAATGGTACGCCTACAATTGTTATTACGTATATCATATACCTATTTTTAATACTTCGCGATTTGTTTTAACTTTTGCAATATTTACCCTTCTTTCAAAATGACATTGCTAAATTTTTACCTGAGAGCTGAGTAAATAAATTTATTGAATATATTGTGGTGTCAGTGAATAAAAATAAACAAAGTATGGATTTTCCTATAGCTGAATTAATTAATGTGATTCACACACTGGGTGAGACAGGAAAAAATACTTTGGTGCCAGTAAGATTTTCAGGCGACGTACCCTAATAGACATATACTAACTAGACGTTCTCTTCAGTATTTAATGGAACGGTTTGATGAAAGACAAAAAGTGGTACACCGAAATGCGACCAATGACGAAAAAGAATTGAAAATTTTACTTTATATTAACAATACACTGCGCGTTATTTTTGTTAAAACACACTTTTAAAAATCCTAGTCCTCGCATCGCTTGCAGACTTTTTACCACTTACATTCGCCCCATACTGGAATTTGCTTCCCCAGTCTGCGTCATAGCGATGTTCTGGAAAGAATGCAACGAGCCGCTATGCGCTGACCACTTCAACTTAGACACACCTTACGATAACCGTCTCAAAATACCGCTAATAGTCTGCCAACATTAAGTCAGCGAGGAGATCTCATTCAAATATATATGTTTGTGGTCTTGGGCAATGATGAACGCCTCCATTTAAAATGAGAAAGGAACAATTCAGGGGTTCTCATCGTCTGCACTTTAACAGGACTTTCGATTATTGGAACAGTTTACCCCCATATGTTGTGTGTGCGCCGAACTTGTCTGTATTTAAACGTCGCTTGGACAGTGTATAGTTTCACAGCAATAAATAAATATTTATTATATGTGTATATCAATGTGCATAATAGGTTCTCCTCTGCATTTTATTCTTTGTAATAATAATAATAATCTCCAGGCCAGTAGCTGTCAAGTAGCTGGCTTATGTAATACATCCCAATCTACTAGAAAATGGAACTACACCAAAAACTTGCAATGAAGCAATAGAGGCCCATACAATTTTTTTTTCTGAAATAATATGTTCGGATGAAGCTACTTTTCGCCGTAATGGTGCAGTTAATCGTCGTAACATGAACAATTGTTCAAAAGTTCAACATTCTGGGTACGGGAAGTGCAAAACCAGAACCATTGGTCACTTAATGTGTGATGTAGGATTAAACACAGAGTAATTGAAATTACTTCAACTTCTTCAAGAAGGTGATTATATTGATGTCCAAGAAGTGCGGTTTCATCAATATGGACCTCCCCCGCATTACCATCGAGATTGGATGGCCTTCGAAATCATGTGACTTAACACCACTAGTTTTCTTTTTGTGGGAATATAAAATTGAGATTTTTCAATTCCAAATGAGCCAAATATAGTCGCTAATTTTGAACACTCTAAAACATCCAATTTAAATTCCGTTCCGTTGAATAACGCTAATATCAAATAATGACACAATTGTTTTTTTTTGCATCTAGAAAAATTAGAATATTGAAAAAACTATTAGGTTTCGTAAGTTATAATTATTAATAAAAAAAAGTTGCAGTTAGTACTTAACGTGATAAGAGATAATAAAAACCGGGAAGTAGTCTTTAATCCAATCTAGTTATCGTAGATTTAATGCCGCTATTAAACACAACACTAAAAAAGAGAACGGGATACAGTTTTTTTGCACCTATCGCTATTTACAATAAATTTATTGAGTGTATATATTTTATTGAAAGTTGTCTATCCAAACGCTTCTATAAACACTATCATTCATTGTTATACTATGATAATACGGTGTCTTGGCAGAAGTGCAAAATAGGCGATCTATTCCCAACTTCTCCCTACATTTTCTCTTTAAGTATGAGTACTGTATTTTCAGCATAAGCTATTCCACCAACCCGTATTTCTTGTATGTAATAGTTAAATCTTAAATAAGCAGTGAAGCAGTGAGACTTAATATACTTAATATACTAAAAATCAACAAAACTACCATTTACTTTTTCCCAATCAGTTAAGGAATCTAGTATTTCACTAGAGCATCAGTATTGATAATGCATTATATGCAGAATAATTTGTGCTCCCTAGTTACATTATCCAGAATAAATCCAGAAAAGCATTTACTTCAGGTGTTAGTTGATTGAGTAGCAGTCAGGAGTAAAAGTCTTAGTTAGTTAAATTGGCTCCAAAATTCCCTTTTGAAAATGACTAATTAAATAGCGCCCAATTTTCAACGCTGTTGCTACGATGAGTTTTCGAGCACGCGTTTTGACGTAGTGCCGGTAGTTTTTGCGATCTCGTGTTTAACTCATTTATTTGGCAATTATACATTCTCACAGCGTAATTCGTGGTATAAGTGAATAAAGCAATAAGTTTGTCAGGTTCTTTAGATCTTGGTTATAAAAAATTGAAAAAAAAACAATTGCTTGGACGTTCATATTGTTGAAGGGGGAAAGAAAATGAAGAATAAGAAAGGAATTTGTCATAAAAGAATATCAAAATAAATCAAATTGTATTTAATAAATGCGGAAATATGCGTACAAGCCACGAGAAAAATATTTCTTATTTAAATATGAAGCTAAGACGGCAGAAAGTGTGTGACGTGCCAAAATCTCAGGGGCGTATGGTAAATGGCACCACAATACCCGGCTAGGTTACCCGCAGATATTCAGGGTAGTTTAGCTGCTATCACCAAGCCCTAACAAAATGTTGAATTCTGGGCGCCACGTGAATTGTAAATCTACGGTCCGGCTTGGTTACCGCAGCTGAACCAGACTGAACAGCACAAGGTGAGCCCCCAAATCACGAAAAAGCTCTGCCTGCTCTGTACCTCGGCACCTTCGCAATGGGCTCAACTTCTTAAATGGGGCAAGGAAATGAAAATCTAAATTTAAGTGAATGAATTTAATTAAGCTGGAAATAATATAACCTAATTCGGTAAAACTTGCTAAACCAATATACAATGTTAAAGCTCGACCAACTAAGTTACGGGTGTATCAGGTGATTTACTGAAACTTAGTAAAGTGTGCACCAGGGGTATACAGAACGCCCGCGGAGAACAAGTTCTGCAACGTGCAATAGCAGAGGTTATTTTCGAATAAATCGGGCTAGTGCCACTCATACGGGTGCGTCACAACAGGGGAGGGTCACTTATAGCAGTAACAAAATCCCATATAACTAACGGTACCTCACAAGCTTCATAGTTTCGTGTCCCGTTGCATTACCGTCCTCGGCGTCCACCGCTCGCCACGTCCTAGCCCAAGTGTTTCTAGGCGGAATACGTATACAGTGCACGGGGCTCGGTCAATAAGTGGCTCACAGCTCACAATCCAACAAAAGCAAGTCCGGAGACAGTGCACGGGCAGACTCCGTACCAATCAGTGGGTCACAGCTCCACAAATCCAACAGAAGCAAGTCCGGAGACAGTGCACGGGCAGACTCCGTACCAATCAGTGGGTCACAGCTCCACAAATCCAACAGACCCAAACCCGGACAAGCAGAAAAACCAAGAAGATAAAAAAAAAACCCTAAAAACAAGCGTCTCTAGAAACACTACCTCCCTAACAGCGTAAAATTAGCAAACAGTGCCAGATTAGAGCAAGGTTAACCTACCTCGGCCACGAGGGTTTTCTTAATGGGGGACCAACGATGTCGGGTGCCCCTAGGAGTCTCTATCGGGAATTGGACGGCAGATAAATCCCCTCTCGGGAAACTTGTGCACCCAAGCAACAAGTCGCAGTAGCCGTGGCGGAAGGCTCGATCCCCAAACTCGGGAAATTTCCAACCAATATTGCAATGACCTTCACCAGGCTTCTGCCGCCATCAAATCCATCGAGGAAAAAAGGAGTCCCAAAACCCCGTCCACCACCTTAAATATAAGTCCTCAGCCACAAAAAAATTGGAGGGAATCGAGGCCTGAGAATAGGAACCGATCGAAAACTAACAAAACAAAATAACCCTAGGCACAATACCAACCTAACACTTCCAAACCAATACTTCGGAAATCCGGAACAGGACTACTACGGACTTCGATAGAAAAATCTACTGCTTCGCTGTAAAGCAGCTTTGTATAACGTTGAAAAAAAAATAAAACCCATTAGGAATCAAATCCGAATTTGTAATTTTCGGGAACTATGCAACCAGTATTTTACCAACCCACAGATGCCGCGCTAAACCTCCAATCGGCGTTAGCCACATTCACTAAGGACTCTCGCCCAAATAATACGACGGTCCTAATCTTTAATAAATTAATATATTAAATACGCCAATAAAGGGTAATAATAAAACGGAACCGTGACAAGTGTGTCAATGACGGGTGTCATTATCAAGCAAAAGCATATAGTTGTGCGTGTTATAGGCAACGTTCATATCATTCAAAGTTTTAAATTGTAAAGTTTAAATACTAAAATTTTCAATTCTCAAACTTAAAATTTTGATCTAATCTTTTATGTGCACCTCAGGGCTAGATTTATTTGCCTTTGTTGCTGATGACAAAACGGTGGTTTTGGTTGTGAACGTTAAAGACAGAATCAATACTTGCGTGGATTTTCTTCTTATTACAGACAAACCAAATAGTTGAGAAATATTACTATTACTATTTTGGTAGAATATTTGAATACGCGGGTTTTAGGGAAGGATAATTTTTCTTTGGGAAACTGTAAAAAAACAATAGGAAACTGTATAGAACCCATAGCGATGTTTATGTGATAAATTTAATATTTATATGAACCCGAGTGCCTGTTGAAACGCAAATTCTACAATTTCAATTCTACTTTTTAATACAGAACACACAAACAGATTATCATTGGTTTTACCTAAGCCACTGGTGCCGAAAAAACATTAAATGGGACACACTGAAACCAACAAATCTACGTGTTTCGCTTTCGCGAAATGATATCATAAAATTTAAAGCCAGTAAAGGACGAGCGTGTCCGAACTCCGAAAGTAACGACATTTTTACTCGTCAAATCTCGTTAAAAAGAAAAGTTAGCTACTAATAATAAATTACGGCATAAAAAACTGCACATAAACAGTATTACAAGTGCTATAACCTCAAAAAAATTTTTTTTGGGATAAGCATACTTTCCTTATTTTTATTACATATGATAAGAGGCATTAGAGACACGAAAAAAAATTGTAATATTTTATCTTCAGGAGAGTCTAAGAAACTTCTTTTCGTATCTCCGCGAAGAAAACCCAGTGAACCCAGGAATTTCAAGAAAAAATTAAATTACCTCAGCAGTATGTGTTGATATTTTAAGAACAAATAAATACAAGGTTGCCAATAACGAACTATAAAATTTGAATTAAAAAATCATTCGGAGCACCATTTCTATAATTTTATCGTATTTAGCATTTAAAAAATAAATGTTTTGTAAAACAGTTTTTGAATTTTTTTTAATGTCGAAAAATTGAACATTTGAACTTTATCAAAAACTACCTTTGCTGAAAAATACCTACAACAAACGCTATTTAAACTAATTATAGAAAAAGTTTAAAAATATATATTAAATTAGCATATTATTTGGCACACAGTATATACTTCGCCATTATACCCATACAGATAGAGACAACTTGCTTACTAGTCTTATTTAAAAATTTACTTTTTTATTCCGTTTTACAAAATTCCTAATTATACAACGCGCGGAAAGTGTCATTTTACCACGTCTGTTTCGTAACTCACGAAACCAAGCCACTTCGGACATTTACGGGAAGTCACTTGTATAAACTCGTGATTCAAATGCCGGTTACCGCTTTTGTTGGATATATAGTATTACATATGTTAAGCATGTTATGTATGTATATTAAGTATGGGAGACTTCAGAATAATGACTGCGTAATTATGTTTTCAAGTAATTAATGACAATTAACCCGCAATTTGTCGAAATAAATCAAAACTCAGCACACATAAGATTTGCAAAATAACATCAACATTTTTAAAGGGATATTAATATTACCTTGGAAATATGGTATCAACTTACACATCCTTTCACCGAATATAAAGTTTCTCAGCACTTGTCCGACTAAGGTAAAAGGCATGCAGAAAACTCCCAACAAAAGATCAGCTAGTGCCTGAAACAATAAAAAAAAAATTAATCTTGTGCCTAAAGCATTAAAAAATCAACCTTGAACATAAAGCTTTATTTGTCTTCCACAACTTAAGCCGAATAAATCTCAACTCGAACTCTATTGCTTATATAATGGTTGGCTTATGTTAGGGATTAATCACCTTTTCAAAGAATTTGCAAAATTTCTCAAAAACAAATTAAGTCAAAAGTTGTTGATTTACTTACATTTTCTAATTTTAAATAGAACACCCTGTATATTAAGGCATTAATCAATTCCCCGGAAATTTCTAGACCATGTTTAGTATATAATAATTATATAATTATAATTAAGTCTTGCGGTATCTGACGTATTTTCAACTTTATGTAAAAAATGACATTTGCGGGAATTATCGATGCGTGCTACTGAAAGCTTGATTTCCTTATAAAAGGGGATCGAGGGGAAAACCACAGGTGGACAATATGAACGAATTCCGCGAAGAAAACAAAAATAAAATAACCTCAGCCGTATGTGTTGATATTTTAAAAACAAATAAATACAGGGTGGCCAAAAACGAACTATAAAATTTGAATTAAAAAATCACTCGGCGATCCATTTTTATAATTTTTTCGTATTTAGCATTTTAAAAGAAGGCGATAAATGTTTTGTAAAACAGTTTCTGAATTTGTTTAATGTAGACAAATTTTACAAATTTTATCAAAAACTACCTTTGCCGAAAAATATCAAGATTGATAAAAACCTGCAACAAACACTGTTTTAAAATAATTATAGAAAAATTTCAAAAATTATATTAAATTAGAACATTACAACAATCTACGTTTTTTATAAAAATATATATCTTTATACAAAATCTCATTTTTACATATTTTTTTCAATTCTGCAAATAATTAACTGTTTTTTTTATTTGTTCCATTTACTGTTAGGGTTTTTTGCATTATTTACTTGTTTTTTTGAAAAACGGTTTGTAAACTTTATATTATTATATCGAAAAATTTCACCAATTGTATTAAATTAGAATATTATAACAATCTACGTTTTTTCTAAAAATATATATCTTTACATAAAATCTCATTTTTACATATTTTTTTCAATTCTGCAGATAATAAACTGTTGTTTTAATTTGTTTTATTTGCTGTTAGTGTTTTCTGCATTTTTTTTTTCGAAAAATGGTTTGTAGACTTTATATTATTTTTTTGTATATTTTTTGTACTGTACTGCTGAATTTTTCGTGATAGCATTTCTAAAATTAAAAAACCTTTTATTGCTTATATTTCGAAAACTACAATCTTTTCGAAGAGCAAATTTTACACAAACTCACTTTTTTGGATGCGAAATACGATTTAAATATAAAAAGGGCACATTTCCCTTAAGAAAATACTTTTAACTATTTTTTCATTTAAATTTTTAATGTCACTTTTCGCAAAGCTCTAAAACGTATGATAAAATCGACACCATATGTATAACAAACACTTTTGCCATTAAATTCAACATGTGTTAGAAACGGTAAATCTGAGGTGAATAGTGAGCAGTTGTCTAGAATTTTTGGAAGAAACCAAAAAGATTTAATATACTGGATGTTCCGGTTAAAATAAGAAAGTCACCTGTCCACAAAAATACAAACACAATGTCTATATAATAATATAACAATAACTTTTATCTACTTTTTTTTGATAAATTTTAGAAGTTTCTGAGTAAAGTTATCATCATTAATGAATGCTAAGATCACAGCTGTATCAGTAAGTATCAAAATTTTACCATTCATATTTTTCAAATCGAATTAATACTTTTCACAACACAAATTATATTGAGTTAATTTTGATGAGTTTATTTACTATTTGTTATTATTTAATACAATCCTGTTCTTTACCCATTATCTCATGGTAGTGTCAATTGATTATATGCGATTTAAAATATCCGCTTAATTCTACTGAGTTAAATTACATCGCTTTGCTTTCAAGTCGACCCTTATAATGTCATTAAATGGAGGAAGAGATCCTTTGAAAGGCCACTGAATGTAACATGACTGTTTCTTGTTTAAATTTTGTACTACTAATTTGATCGAATAATAGGTCCTTATTAAGGTGAAGAAATTTATATATAGAAATATTAAGGTGAGAAATTCTGTGCATGAAAAAATATAACTTCTACGTGTTTTATAAATAATTAATTAAAAAATACTTTGCTTTTCGACATTCGACTCATTTATCTTACTGCGGAAGAGTATAAGTCCTTCGGTAGGCAAATACGAACATGTCTATCAAATACAAGGCGGAAGAAGACATTAGAGATAGATCAGTCTTCTGGATAATGTATGGAGGGTCGGTCAATCAAATATCGATCTCCTTATACGCGTTCCCCAAAATTTGCGAAACAGATATATACATCCATAAATACAAGAACTTTTATCCGTCGTTTAGACAACTTTTTTATCTAGCTAAGGACAGCAATTTCGGAAATTCTAAAGTTTTGTGTGTTCTATTTTTTCTGAAAAGGAAACTGTTAATATGGAGGCAAACTTAAAAATCCTTTCCTTTACATTTTTTTCTTGTAATTTTCAACTAAAAGGATTACCATATTATTATCTAAATTACGCTAAAATACTATAAATCAAAATACAAAGTAGTCTTTTTTGTATTGTGACTTAATTTTTATATTGTTTATTGTAACTCTAATGATAATACCAGAACGTTCGAAGTAACTTCAAGTAAGACCAACCAATAAAGATAAATGATTGTACCACTTTATGAAATTAATAAAATTACTAATTATCGATTTCCCACATATTTATGAAAGGCCCTGTGCATTTGAAAATAATTTGAAATTGTTTCTTTTAGACCCATATATAGCTTGTGTATTTAACATTTTTCTCTAAAACAAATAATTAACGAGACATAAATGACATAAATGTCAACAATAATTAATACTCATTCCAATACAATTGAGATATGGAAAAACAATATATTACAATTAGGATACTCCATCGCATAAATTCGAATAGAAACAGTTTTAAATGTTTTGAAAATTGACACGAAACATATCAAACACTTCTACAAGTAAGACCACCACCACCAATATAATTTGCGCTAATTTGTTTTCCAATGCACACATTCACAATTTCACAATATCTTGTGGTGAACTCCTTACTGAACTTATATTTTAGGCTAAAATAGCATCCAGCGATCAAATGGTATCGGATGCCATTTGACAGTTCATAGATGTCCTATTTACTGTCTGAAACCATATTTCAGTTGGAGGTCAAATTGACCCATGCAATTTTTTCCAAGCAAGCGCTTATCGCTAAGTGGCGTGATAATCGAAGCAAAATATACATTTTGAATATTTTTGTGACCTTCTGCAGGCTCATTTGGCATCCATAGCCGTTACTGGGTTTGGCAACGTTGTCTGATGCCAAATGAGTCAAATGACTCGGTTCTGGCTAGTTCGTCGGATAGTTTTAAACCTGTAGTATGAGTATACCGGGCGTTTCAACGCAAAACAAAAAAAACTCAAAGGATTGATTACTTATTTAAAATTAAGGGTAATTTATTTGTTGCTTGTTGAAGAAGAATAAAATATGATAAAAGTATTATTATTATTATAAAAACACACTTTCTGCATATTTTTTATTTTTTTTAAATAATAGGAGGCAATTCAATTAGACTACCCCTTAACTAAATTTAAGGAAAACTTATAAAATGACATAATTTTTTTTACTTTATGCTTTATTTAGAAGCTTTTTTGTCTCCTGCATTTTTTCCACAATATTTACCGTTTCCAAATTTTAAAAAAATTAAATCAATGCGTAGCGTAATAATAGTATATTATGCACTAGATGTGGGAAACAGCATTTGAATCACTAGTTTATTTGGCAAAAGCAGAGTGAGCATTTACAAGAGGAAGTAGAAAAAAAATGATTAAAAAATCCGCTGCATTTCTTGTGCGGGCGCCGAAATAGAAATTCCTTAGAACCATAAGTGTATTTATTATATCGCAAGAAAGCATCATCAACACTTACTATAAAAATAATATTTTTCTTATGTCTTAGGGGCTCTTGCTAATTTGTTGTGTTTTATGTGAGTTGTGTTGTTTTTTATTTTCATTGTTCACGCATGAACAGATCAATTAGTTTCAGAAATGTTTATTAATATTTTTTTTCTAAAATGTATTTGTTTAGAACGTAATTGGTAAATATTAGTACAAAGTACATGTGTTTAAGGGCATCTAACTAAATTGCTTTTCTGAAATAACTTTTTTTCAACAAGCTATGCTGTATATTTCATTATTTTATTTGAAAAGTTTTATGAAAAACTCGCAGGAGACAAAAAAATTTCTGATTAAAAAATAACATTCAAAATGTATATTTTCTAATGTTAATGTTATTGGATAAGTTTCTCCTTCTTTCCTCCTTGAATTTAGTTAAGAAAAATGATAGACGTACAAAACAAACAAACAAACGGTATGTATCTATTTTCGTTTTTAAAAAACAAATTGAAACATTATTTTTCAACCATGTTTGTAGCATGATATCTCCCGAACGGTTGGCTTTTGACCCAATAAGAAACTACATTTCATTTTAAACCTTGTATTTCGTGCTGTCCAAAGGGCATATTAGTATAATATGGTTGTTTGCGAGTCACTCATATAGTTAGTGTCTTTTTAAAGTAAATTCCTTAGTAATATCCCAAAGAACTGGGTTTGAGAAACTAAGCTCAGAAATAAAGTTTTTTACTTACGTTTAGTTAAATATAGGGAGAATTGCTGTCTCTCTTGTTAATGATTTTCTGCTATCATTATTGGTACACAACCGCTAATAAACAAATAAATTTAAGGCCAAATCAGTTTTGAATAAACGCTATTGCCATTCAAAACTCACCAAAACATAGTCCGGGGTCAAACTTCGAAAATTAAATATATAATGATGATTTTATTTCTATGTAACTAATAAATGAACTTATTTTGAAATCATTTAATAAAGCATTAATATTTTCATGCCACTTTTGAACAAAAAAAATGTTTCTTGTTACAGAAATTAATTTTGTTAGTAGTTTAGTTTTTTAAAATTCTTCTTCTTTTCTTTACAACAGTCTTCTACTTCACTTAGCATGTTTATAAAGACAGTCTGAAATTATTCTAAGTACTTTGTAGAAACAATGAATTAATAAAAGCAACTTGCTTACTACACCTTGCTATTTTTCACGTAAGAGTTAATCATTACACATATCACTGTAGTTGTAGTTTGCATATATTTTGTTAAAAACTAACGTTCGTATGTAATAACGTTTTTGTTGTTGATGTTATAGGTTAGGCTCTTGTTAATTAGTTAGAATCTTATTTGGCTCTTTTGCTGCATTTCATTTTTTTAAACATTTAATTTTATTTATAGCTATGTCGCTAAATGCCCTCTAGCGGCGATACAAGCACTCTTAATCAATCCGTTTCTGTTTTCTGAAAAAAAAAAAAACATTTACAACGCTTTAAAACGGTGTCCATTTTAACTAATAGTAATATACGAAAAAAAACTGCATGTAAAATTGAAAAATGCGATTATTCTCGGCGTTCATTCTAGAAACTTAAAATTAATTTCCAGCATTCTCTTGGCCCCTTTACTTTTTGCGCCCCAAGTGCTTAAGACCTTTATCTTTCGAGATGGAGCAGAATACCCTTTTTAATTGGTCACTCCAATATGACCAGATTTTCCACTCCTCTGCGAGGCATTTAAGTAATTTTGGTTAGTTTTGTGGGTATGGTTTTCTTGTTATTTTTCGGTTCTTCTTGAATTTCTCAGTAATAAAAGAAAATTGGTGTCCCTGAACACTGCTAGAAAGTATAAATATGAATTTATTAATTTTAAATTTAATTAATCAAAACTATATTTTCGTTTCACAATAATGTTTTAAAGTAATACACTCTGAAAAACGTATTCAGCAAAAGGCAGGTAACTAAGGTATAATTGATACCTATGTTATTTTTCGGGTAAATTGGTTACTTTTTTCCTGACTTAAATGGCAATATTAAAACTTTGATGCTTCTCGAGACGGAAATTGTCGATTTAATGTTTAGTTAAAAAATCAGACGGAATTTCCTTCACCTCACGGTATAACTTTCTTTCATGATTCGTTGACGTGATAAATTCAAACCAGTTGTTAAGCTGTTCTTTGTACTTTTGTAATTTTCTGTTTTTATTGCCTGAACTTATGTCGCTACTTATTGATGTTAAATATGTTACTCTCTTGCATTGTTTTGGAAATTGATTTTGGCATGTTAATTTCATTTAACTTCTGAGTTGGTTTTCTAAATTTGCCGCTTATTCGCACACACAAATAATAAAATGTATAATTGTAACATTTTATATCAAGGTAGGTCAGCAACAGCTTTATTTGTGAAATTCAGGATGCTGACAATTAACAAAAAGCGGGGTTATCTCCTTATCATTGAAACTGCTTTAGATATTTCGCCATAATTATTTTTCTACTTTTCTACTTTTACCGGGGTTAGTATGATACTGAATATTTTTATCAATAAAAATGTTCTCTTTACTTCGTGTGGTCTGACGAAGGAATTTTTAAATAAAAGTTAAGTAATCGTAATTACTTATTACCATAAACATGGAATACTGGAAGCATGATTCCAGATCCGAAGTGAAACATTTTTTTTTAGATTTCATTTTAAATTCAAATTTAAAATCTAATATTTTTGATTATTTTTGGATTACCCTGTAGTTTAGAATGGAACCTTGTTTATAAAGCCCATTTGAGCTTGATGATTTTTTGTTTTTATAGAAGAAAACCCTTCGCGATTTTGAAAATTTAATTTATTTTTGAGGAAAAAAAATGCTTACCCCCACGCCCCACAAAAAAAACAGTTTCGTGCAGTGTGGAAAATGACGAAACCCCGCTTTCTAGGTATATTTTCAACAGCCTTTTTTTATATAAGGAATCACACCCTTAACGATCTGCATCTTCGAGAACAAAATTTGCATGGTCTATATGGATAAAAAGTTCACCTCTACAAATGCGAGTTCCAAAGAGAGAACTTACACCAGAAGACAACAAGCCAAACCGGAAAAGATCGAGCTCATTCAAAAATTCGCGATACCTCATACACAAAAAAAATTAAACAGTTCTTCGGCTTGCTCAGATATTACAAAACCGTTAACTCGATGCCTAAAAAGTGCGGAAAAATGATACACTAAAGAATTTGTGGACTCTTTTCAACATTGTAAAAATATTTTAACTTCCGAACCAGTACTTAAATATCCTGATTTTACTAAAGCCTTTGAATTAACACCTGACACATGAATCGGAGCAATATTATCATCAAACGGTCACCCAATTAGTCATGCGTCCAGAACTGTCCTCAAAGACCATAAACCGCTATTCTGATTTTCAAATAAAGTAGTAGTAGCAAAAACATAGACCCTAACGCTTGAGAACTCTATCTACGACTAATGAAAAAGTCGAAGAACTACCAGAATAAAATCCGGTAGGTAACAACAAACAACAAATGAAATAAATATTTTGCAAGATATTTTGCTGCGACCCGCTCAAAGTTCCTAAAATCAACCCTTATTACCACATACAACTTAAGTGCGGAAACGTAAAATTGACATGGAGGCGCGCGCAGCCTCTGAAGATAGCAAATGAAATTTTGGCGAAATGTCAGGCAACTGATCTCAATTTAGAATCAAACAACGAACGCATGAATACCAGGATAAGCACCTGGTGACCTGCAGACAATCTCTTGCAGAGCAAGAATCGCAAGAAAGAGTACTTGCTATTTGCCAAATGCAAAACCGTTAATTGAAATTCCAACTGCTTGCCAAATTACCTTAGGCAAGAAAAGTTACTACAACGATGCCAAAATTATGAAAGGAAAATATCACTTACATTAACCTGCAAGATCTATATCACTTAAAGGATATAGAAAGTCAACAGCAACCGATTGAAGAAAGCGACCAGCCTATGCGCATTCAATAACTAATATTATTTTTATAAATTTTTGTAGCGATCGTTACAGCTTTATTTATCGTTTATAGAAAGAAGCTTCTACCAGGATGTCTCCTAATCAATCAAAACTATCAACTCAACTCAACTCATTACATTATGTTTGCTTCATAAGCAAGGAGGAGTTATGTACTACGATTTCCATGACATACCTGTAAGGAACCGGAAGACATCAGTATTTTTCCCCGATGATACTAAGAAGAGACCGTAAGACCCACGTAGTCAGCTTTATATGCGAATTTATAAAACGTTACTTTAAAGTAACAACATTATTCATTTCACCTGTTGCTGCAGACACTTGAATTTTCAATTGGCATTTTCAAAATAAAGTTTTTAAAAAGCCACCTTCGTCGTCCACAATATCCAGTCCATTTTATCGGTGTCTATTGACTTTTAGCCATTTTATTCATACAAGCAATCAAAAAATATTGATTACGTTGTATTCACAGGACTGCGCCTTTTGAATCTGAATTAGATATTATATTCGGAAAATTGGCGAAGTTCTAAGATCTTATCTATTTGACTTTTTCAGTTCTTCTAAATCCGGATCATATATTAATATATCTTAAACTGAAAAATATTGGCTAGACTAAATATATTGTACGCTTAATGTAACGTCAAGTTCACTTTAGCTGCTTAGATTTTGAAATATGTCAGGCATAATTAAATTTCTGTGACCTCAACTAGTATGACTAATGAATGGAATAAGTTTCAGTAAATCAAAGAATGAAAATATACGGTTGGCCCATACCAGATTAACCTAGGATAACCCTGATTTCACATATTAAAGGGCTAAACACTATTTGCTAAGATGCTAATTATATAAATAACTCCAACAAAATGTGCAATAATTAATTGTTTTTCTGACATCAAGAACCTTAACAGAAAAAAAAACAAATCTACTTGCGTCTGCAGCGTCTCTAAGTTCCTGGGTTTTTTTCCTTATTCGTTGTAGTATAACAAACCTAACTGAATCACCCACTGCTTTTAATTAAAGAAATACCAATCCGAACATTCCTTCAAATTATTACATTACGTTTGGGTATAAAAATAAAAGAACTAGAATTTCTTTCGCAAAAAGAATATTGTATTACAAGTTTTTTCGTTAATCCTGGAAGCTAAATTAAACCTGCAAAAGAATATCATGAGGTAGAGAGCATTTTTCATTTAGCAAATAACGCGGTTCACTCTTATGGAAAAGACTTTATAAAGCATCTAATTAAAATATTTGAGCCCACTTAATTAATTGCTTTGTGGTTCGTTTCATTTGAGCAATACACAATCTAATGTTTTATTATTAGTACGAATTCTGTTACGTTGTGGCTGCTCCATCAAAACTAACTTTTCGGAACAAATTTTGCATTGTCAAAACTGGTATATTTATATTTTAAATACAACTCTTTCTCAAAATGGTTCAAATTAAATATCTTTTATGATTGAGCCATGTGTAATTATTCTTGGAAGACCTCTTCTCCAAGATACTGTTTCTCCCATTCCAAATAAAAATTACCTTGGAAAATTTTCATAATGAAAATAGATGGATTGTTGGTATTTGTAGCTGATTTTCATCGCACTTCATTCGTCATATCTTGGCTTTTCCGATTAAGACTTTAACAGAGTAATTCTTCCTATCCTATAGCTATTGTAACTGAACACGCTCTTAATATTATAGTGACCGTTTCTCAAAATCTTATTTTATTGTTCGTTATTCGGTACTGATTCGCTAGTCTTATTTCGAGTTGCCTCATATTTCCCAAAATATCGAAATTTTGATTATTTCATTTCGGCTATCAAGCGGATGAATTAAAACATCATAAACAGGCAAAAAATTCACTTACCAAATTAAGTAAATACACGTTGGTAACCGTTCTCATTCTGCGGTCTCTGATTAATGTTACTAGCACAAAAGTATTGCCAACCATAGATAGAACGAAAATGATTAAATATAAAGGGACCATTATTTGGCTTAGAAATTCGCTATCTGGCTTTGCTTCAGTACTCGCATTATTTCCCGAATATTCATTATATAGTGAATAATTGGAGGAGGTTGTTGTAGAATCGGCGGCAATGTCGGGAAAACCATAATCAAATTGTGATTCCACGGCTGACATGGTCAACGTAGTCCTGAAAAGAAAAGCATTTTAATATAAAGGAAACGAGAATTCATTTTATTACGCCCATATAGCAATAAGATAATATATTGGCCCTACTACGGTAAAAAATGGTGCACCGCAGGTGGCTATGATATTTTCGTGGAGAAGGTCTGGATCTTTTGCGCATGCGTCATCCCCAACTAACTGAGTTGTCACAATGCCGTAATTTTTCTGAAAAAATTGATTGATTTTCATAAGAACGCAAAATAATGTCTCTGAAATCCGAATATAATTGGCAACGCCGAGCTTGGAATTGCTATTTCCAGAGAATACCAACAGTCTGTGACATCGGTGTTAATATATGAATCCAAATTGCAATAAAATATAGGTAAATTATTGTGTGAATTGACACTAATATCTAAAGCCCGCTAGACACAATGCAATTTCTATATATATTTTTAGCATTTAACTATTTTTGTTAGCAAAATGTTTTATAAATTTTGAGACAATAAACTACACTTTTTAGTTAATTGTGTTACATTTTGGGCTAATTGTTTATTGACTTATTTTATTCTAGTTTTTAAGTTTCTTGGTTACATTTTCCAATACTTACAGTTTTTTAATGAAATTGTCAATTGGTACTTTTCATAATTATATATTTGGGAGGCGAAACTTCATGCAATTACTAGACTTGTGATGAAAGAATGGGCGTTCTGTCTATATCAGGTGCTTGTTGGACATTTTTTCTACTTAGATGTTTCCTATGCGATATCTAGTACCTCAAAGTTATATTTACACTCTTAGATTCACATTTCGTGAATTCGACTTTATTTATATTTTCAATGGACCAATAAGTTTATAAAAACAAACTGTTTGCGCTGATTTATGGGCACAAGTTCGGGAAAAAATAGCTGGTATCGTGTTTATAGGGTTTAAAGAACCAAAATGTCAAACTACTTACAGAATTATATTATATTATGCTGTAATTCAGCATAATATTAACCCTGTACTTGTCGCTAATTTTTTTAACAACGCTTTTCACATCTTAATTCTTTTTTGCCTGACAATTTAATAGGATTTCGACATAGTTTGAGAAAATACTGCCGTAAAACTGCAGCATCCAAACATTGACGACCTGCCAGCGGCCATGTTGGTTGTTGAAAGCCCCAAGGCTGCCATTGGTTAAAAACGAAATTTCAAATCTCGTGCATGCGCATATTGAACAGACCTTCTCAAAATTTTGTTACATAGCTGCACGAATTCCTGTACTATTAGCATAGACAGGGCCTCTATATGTCTAGTAGCTATATGATTACGCCCATTGCTCCATGAAGATATGTTTTCCATGCAAGTGAGATAAATTTTGAAATTGAAAAATCTACAAAATTACACCAGATATTTTTAAAAAACCATGGAGATAATATTTCCAAAAAATACATGTTTTCACATTTGGTCTAATAATGAACTAAACTGTGCCGCAAATATAAAGCATATCTTAAAAAATAAAGAAAATTATTATTTTTAAAGAATATACATGAATTTCATACCAAACATAATTATTATATTGAACATTTCAGATGCGCGGCAGGGTGTACTACAGACAACAAAAATGTTATGTTTTAATCTGTCAACAAACAAACAAACAAATATCTCGAAGTGCCACCCCTAGGTCCGATTATTGCTTCACACTTTCTTGACATTTCGTCTTGTTCAATTTTTATACCACAGTTAAGTTAGATTTCATGACAGTTCATTTAAGTCTCTAGGTGAAGGCTGTAAGACCCTTATCTGTAGAACCATGTTCCCCAATAAAATAACCAAGTTGCATTACATGAGGTTTTAAAATGTCTATTATGTATCGGTCGGATGTTAAACGTCCTCCCTGAACCAGAACTAAGTCCACGCGAGCCTCCGGACTAATTCCACCCCATACCATAACAGCCTAGCTGACAGTTCGACATCCGGGGATCATCGCTGAAAAGGAAAAATAGCATTCACGATTTCCCCAATTTTATGATTAGTAGGGAACCAATTGCAGCCCTATATTGAGTGATATTGTTTTCTGCTAATTTTCTCAACACTGCATCTTGGCTACTACGGTAATTGTACCGACGAGTAAATTTCTGCTGGAGTACGGTGCTTGTGGTAAATTGATTCCGTAATGTCCGCATTCGCAAAAATCGATAGTGATTATTTGTTCTCACCCCGTTTCGTATTGTCCAGGTCCTCTTTGGTTTCTTCTGAGGAATACCACCGAATTTATGGCATACCTGGTATGTTGTACTATCATAGCGGCACATTCTGTTGGTGAAAGATTTCTGATCTCAATCGCTTTCAAGCAATCTTGACTAGATTCACTTTTAGATAGGTATATCAAAGAATTTAGTTTTTTAGGAAATACACATAAATTTGATAGCATGATAGGATTGATCAAGTTAGAATATGTCATCAAAATCGTAACAAAAAACATATGCAATGACATTAAAAAAAAATATGATTTAATTAAAAACTTTTTTGTCACACGCAATTTTTTTCATGTTCGATAGAGGCCATTTTAACCACAAGTGACTGAAGGTTACCAAAGGGTTGCACAGTATAGTTTTCCTACGACTCTTAGGTTTTGGGTACATTTTTACAAAGCAAGAATCCATTTCGTGAGTTTTGAGTTCAGCCGTGCTCAAATATGAAGAAGGTCTGGATCTTTTGCGCATGCGTCATCCCCAACTAACTGAGTTGTCACAATGCCGTAATTTTTCTGAAAAAATTGACTGATTTTCATAAGAACGCAAAATAATGTCTCTGAAATCCGAATATAATTGGCAACGCCGAGCTAGGAATTGCTATTTCCAGAGAATACCAACAGTCTGTGACATCGGTGTTAATATATGAATCCAAATTGCAATAAAATATATGTAAATTATTGTGTGAATTGACACTAATATCTAAAGCCCACTAGACACAATGCAATTTCTATATATATTTTTAGCATTTAACAATTTTTGCTAGCAAAATGTTTTATAAATTTTGAGACAATAAACTACACTTTTTAGTTAATTGTGTTACATTTTGGGCTAATTGTTTATTGACTTATTTTATACTAGTTTTTAACTTTCTTGGTTACATTTTCCAATACTTACAGCTTTTTAATGAAATTGTCAATTGGTACTTTTCATAATTATATATTTGGGAGGCGAAACTTTATGCAATTACTAGACTTGTGATGAAAGAATGGGCGTTCTGTCTATATCAGGTGCTTGATGGACATTTTTTCTACTTAGATGTTTCCTATGCGATATCTAGTACCTCAAAGTTATATTTACACCCTTAGATTCACATTTCGTGAATTCGACTTTATTTATTTTCAATGGATGTTAAACCAATAAGTTTATAAAAACAAACAATTATGATTTAATTAAAAACTTTTTTATCACACGCAATTTTTTTCATGTTCGGCCATTTTAACCACGAGTGACTGAAGGTTACCAAAGGGTTGCACAGTATAGTTTTCCTACGACTCTTAGGTTTTGGGTACATTTTTACAAAGCAAGAATCCATTTCGTGAGTTTTGAGTTCAGCCGTGCTCAAATATGAAGAAGGTCTGGATCTTTTGCGCATGCGTCATCCCCAACTAACTGAGTTGTCACAATGCCGTAATTTTTCTGAAAAAATTGACTGATTTTCATAAGAACGCAAAATAATGTCTCTGAAATCCGAATATAATTGGCAACGCCGAGCTAGGAATTGCTATTTCCAGAGAATACCAACAGTCTGTGACATCGGTGTTAATATATGAATCCAAATTGCAATAAAATATATGTAAATTATTGTGTGAATTGACACTAATATCTAAAGCCCACTAGACACAATGCAATTTCTATATATATTTTTAGCATTTAACAATTTTTGCTAGCAAAATGTTTTATAAATTTTGAGACAATAAACTACACTTTTTAGTTAATTGTGTTACATTTTGGGCTAATTGTTTATTGACTTATTTTATACTAGTTTTTAACTTTCTTGGTTACATTTTCCAATACTTACAGCTTTTTAATGAAATTGTCAATTGGTACTTTTCATAATTATATATTTGGGAGGCGAAACTTTATGCAATTACTAGACTTGTGATGAAAGAATGGGCGTTCTGTCTATATCAGGTGCTTGATGGACATTTTTTCTACTTAGATGTTTCCTATGCGATATCTAGTACCTCAAAGTTATATTTACACCCTTAGATTCACATTTCGTGAATTCGACTTTATTTATTTTCAATGGATGTTAAACCAATAAGTTTATAAAAACAAACAATTATGATTTAATTAAAAACTTTTTTATCACACGCAATTTTTTTCATGTTCGGCCATTTTAACCACGAGTGACTGAAGGTTACCAAAGGGTTGCACAGTATAGTTTTCCTACGACTCTTAGGTTTTGGGTACATTTTTACAAAGCAAGAATCCATTTCGTGAGTTTTGAGTTCAGCCGTGCTCAAATATGGCGCAAAAAAAAATATTTGCTATTTATCTTAAAAACGAAAATAAAAAGATAGAGCAATAAAATATTACAGAAGTATTAATATGATAAAAAAAAGACTTTCTACACATTTTTGTTATTTTATTAATTGCATTGAATTAGAGTATTATTTTTAAATTATTTTTTTAAATAAAATTTAAGGAAAAACTTATGCAATGACATATAATATTTATGCAATGCTTAACAGATCACATTTTCATTTGGAAACTGTAAGCTTTGTGAAAAAATTACAAGGGACAAAAAGTTTTTAATAAACTAATTTATCGATATTTATTTTTCTACTCCCTTCTGACAAATACCTAATTATACACCGATCTAGCGTGCAGAAAGTGTCATTTTATCGCATCAGTTACGATTCCTGCAGATGCGAGTCACTTCGAACATTGCTGAGATATTACCGGGTTTGGGAACAATCGAATGTTTTCAGAGATATTCTGACAGTCATATGAATGTGAATGTATTCATGTTGTTTTGCAAAAATGTACCTAAAAACTAACGGTC